CATTCCGAACGATTCCTCAGACCACTCACCATGATAAGAATAAAAATTCCATTGAAATAAAGACTCTCACAGACGTTCATCAAAAATGTATGAACCGTTTACTAAACTGGCCGTTTATCTTTGTCTTTCCGCTTTCAGACATTCTAATCTAGACATCTTTAATAATTAAATCTTAGCTTTGCCCGCCCTAGTTAGGACTTCATCGGTACAAGTCGGTTTTGCAGATATGTTGCGCCTTATACTGAAGATAACAAGGTTGATTATCGCGTGATGGTTGTTTATCGTTAAAATTGAACATAACAGATAAGGCAGGTCAAGTACAAATATGACGCAAGCGGAAAACAGGACTATTAGGGATGTGTTTAATACGTTAAATAATTTGTCGATATTATATATAATTCATTCGATTATCGAGTTAAATAAATATTAATACAAATAGTTTGTTATTTATCGTATTATTTTTATCATTTTACATCTTTATATAAAAACTATAGGGTTTGTATGTTGACTGGTAGAAATCTCTTTTATAATACTAAACCTAATTTCTATATAGGTGAATATACAAAATCATGTATATATATATATATATATATATATATATATATATATATATATATATATATATATATATATATATATATATATATATATATATATATATATATATATATATATATATATTGCCACAGACTAACTAGAAGAGGTTCAGGAACGAGGGTGGTAGGCCCGTATCCACTTCTTCCTCTTCCGTTCTTGCAATTTCGAATATGGATTCGTCAAAGATCCGCTGACATACAAAACCAAAGATGGATACAGGCTACTGATTGTAGACAATCAAAATTGGTCGGGCCTACGACGACTATCTATATACAACGACTATCAAAACGTTTATTACATCTAGATAGAAAAAACTTCAAAATAATGATAGGGACAATAACGGGCCATTGTTCATTAAACAAACATTTATACACAGTAGGAGCCACAGACAGCCCTCTATGTCGAGGCTGTTTCGACGCCGAAGAAACGGCTGCTTACGTAATTTTGGAATGTGAAGCAGTGGCCCGTCAACGCTTAGAAATCCTCGGAACGGTGAGGTCGCTTCGTGAGGCCTGTGAAGATCCTAGAAAGCTTTTGTGCCTCTGGGCGGAGCTAGGTTGGCTGTACTAGCCACGACTCATACGCACGACGGCCCAAATGAGAGGCTAAGCGCGGAAAATAGAGTCCTATTTACATTACATATATATATATATATATATATATATATATTACATGTATATGTATATATATATATATATATATATATATATATATATATATATATATATATATATATATATATATATATATATATATATATATATATATATATATATGATCGTAAAAGGGTGAAAATTTAAAGTTGTATGTATTTTTCAATGCTAAATTATAATAAAATAAAAATAAAAAAAATTGACAAAAAAATAAAAAATAAATATTTTGGGGTGGGTCACCCTTATTATTGACGGGTATGAAAAATAGATGTTGGCCGATTCTCAGACCTACCCAATATGCACACAAAATTTCATAAAAATCGGTAAAGCCGTTTCGGAGGAGTTTGGTAACAAACACCGTGACACGAGAATTTTATATATAAGATATATTCAATGAAGTACGACTATTTTACTTTTATGGTTATTGTACTACCTACTATTTCTACAACCATGTACGAGCTTTTAACCACAATGTAATTTTAGACATAGTACATTTACCAGAGAGAGATTTTGTACAAAAGTCGTTTGCTTGGGCACCTCTGTCCCATTCGTGCTTCTACCGTGAAGCAGACTATTATTACAGTTGTTTTATAGCATTTGATATGCGAATCTTTAGACTGATGTAACTTTTTTATTTATGAACCGATTGAAATAAAATAAACACTGAATGTTAAATGGAGAAAACCGCAACGTATCAGTGACAACCGCATTCAAATCGGTTAAGCCGTTTTTACGTTTAGGGTGCACAAACGTACAAACAAACAGACAAAAATTCTAAAAATCATTGTTTTGTCATAAAGCATTATAATAGTTTTTCTTATATATCTTCCATGTACAGACAGCGATGTCTGTCATGGACAGTGATGTATGTACTAATGAATAAATAAATAAATAAAAATAAATATTATAATATCGATATGTAATAGGGCTAAAGCGCATCACTACATATATCAATGGTCGGCGCATCTGCAGTGCGCGTAAGTGCAATCGATGCAGCTCTCCCGGATGCACCATTTTAGTTTAGAAATTAGATTTAGAAAAAAAAACCCCGACGCAAAAATTTCCATCAATTATCAAGTTTCACGTGTCTGTCTATCTGTCTGTGGCATCGTTGCTCCTTAACGAATTGTCCGATTATGATGCGGTTTTTTGTGTGAAAGCTGATCTTCATTTAATATAAATTATAACAATGTAATTTTTGTGTAAAATAAAGTGTAAATTTAAATGTAAATAAAACAAAGTATAAATAAATATGAGAATAGGTATTTACGTTTAATTCAAATTTTATTGTATTTATAATCGGATTCAACTTTTTTGTTATTTAAAACACTTTATTTTTTTATTTTTTTATGCAGCTTAGAAAAATGGCAAACAAGCTGACTGCTTACATAATGGAAAGTGGTAACCGCCACATAGACATAAGCAGTACCATGTACATAACAGAGTATACTGTTTCGCCCATGATACCCCCCATACGTTGCCATTCCTGAGTACATTCCTGAGGTGTTATTCCTCTGTACCGTGTAAATTCACTGCCATATCCCACCTTTCAAACCGAAACACAGCCATTCAAACACAACTGCTTCACGGTAGAAACACGAATGCTACAGACATGGCCAAGCAAACGATACGACAACATAACCTTCAAGAAAAGAGTATATTCCTTTTTAAAAGGTCGGCAGCACACCTGCAATGCCGTTGGTGTTGTGGGTGATCATGGGCGGCGGTAGTCACTTACCATCAGGTGAGCCGCATGCTCGTTTGCCCGCTGTGTTGTAAAAAAAAACGACTTTTGTACAAAGTCTCCCTCTGGTAAATCATTATCATATGTTATATATATCATTAGTAAATCGTTAAAAAGGTATAAATCATCAAGATCATTGACACTGATATTTACACAGTACGATAATGTGATTTACTTACATTACAGAATCGACTATTACTTGGTAATTTCCAAATACACATGACTCGTTTTGTTTTTTTTTTTAATTAGACATGTGTCGATAATTATTACTAAGTTTGGAACGTAACATGTTATATTATATGTACTTCCCCGTAAATTTGTTCATGTTTTTTTTAATGAATGATAATGAAATGGTAGCCCTGTCTGCGTTATCGGTATACGTTGGCGGGGCACTAGTGAGGGATGATAGGTGAGGATGAAAAGGCAGTTCAGTTAGCCCATCGTGATGAATACATTTGGTATTCATCACGATGGTCCCTAGGGGGGACCACGTGGAGGACGGCCTGACAGGGTATATTGCTAGTAATGGGGCTATTTTTTTCAGCCTGAATATTTCAGCCGTTAACTGTCCACTGCTGAACATAAGCCTTCCCCATAAGGTGAGTTTTATCAATAGTTACCATGCTTGGCAGGTGAATTAGCAACCGCAGTTAGGCTTTCACAGATGTTTCAAGAGGGACGCAGCTGCCCATCCCTCCACCATAAGCTCCCTTAGTCCCCTCTTACGACACCCACGGAAAAGTAAGGCGTGGTCCATTCTGGCGGGACTTACATCATTGATAGCATCGTGGTTAATTCTTGTCGAATGCATTTTGATGAGTTAACTGATCTGCTTTCATCCTCACCTATCATCTCTCATTGGTGCCCCGCCAGTGTCTACCGACAGCGCAGGCGGGGTTACCATTCCATTATCACCCATTAAAAAATAAAAGGATTAGTGGGATAGGATAGTGGGATTTATACCAGTGGAATTTATACTAAACTAATGTATTTTTTTTTTATTTTTAAAACTATTTTACCACCTAATGTCTGCTTCAACTAACTCTAACAATGTTTGTTAAATGTTAGAAACTAGTTAAAATTCCTGTTAGCAGTTTCATTATCTTAGTAAGTAATAGTAGATAGAAAAGTTTTGTCAATTAAATTTAGACTAAATGTTACTTGAAATTGAGTTCTTTTTTGCAATAAGTACATTTAGTCTTGGAAAAAAAAACCCTCTTCAATCGAAAAGTAAAAACCGTGTATATATATATATATATATATATATATATATATATATATATATATATATATATATATATATATATATATATATATATATATATATATATATATATATATATATATATATATATATATATTCTTTATTGCACTTGTAAGTTACATATAAAATAATCTATTTATAAATGTTGTGCAAGCAAGGGTGGACTTATCTCTGACAGAGATCTCTTCCAGTCAACCCAGTACAGTGAGAAAGCATTTCGTTAGCGGGCAGCTGAAGTGCTACAACTATTAATACATAAACAAATATACAGTTAAATATTGCTGCCTGTCTCTTTACTGTGCCATATTAAAATATATAATAAAATATTACATAAATACATACACTATAAATACATATAATACCTACCTACTTATATAATAAATGTTAAAATAAATGAATATACTACTTACATTAGAAATTTCGTTTTATGATTTTAAGATTTGACAGATATTTAAACCCACGGGAAAGGAAGGAGTGGTCTATTTTATGCCAGGACCACACGGCCGTGATCACGGTATGATAAAAAAAAAAAATACTAGATAAGATGATATTACAAAAATCATTGTTCGTTACCAAATTAGGTATGAAAATGGGGAACAAAAATTACCCACTTCTCACTTATGTGTCAAAATCGAATAACACCAAAACAACAAATACAATATTCAATGTATCTCTTCACAAATATAAAACTTGTCGAATTTGAACTCTATGTCACATACAAATAAGGCTACCACAGATATATTGCAATGAATATTTACAAGTTTGTAAAATATGAAATATATATATGACCAATTTTGTTATCCGCAACAGTTTGTACATTTTATATCAGTGAATTTGTCCGATTGTAACATTTGTATGTGTTATTTAAATATTTTCACATAATTTCCGAGCCCTGTATTAGGATGGACTCGTTTCTAAGGTCATTTGTGTTTATGGCTACCTTTTTCGTTATCCTTCAGGTTAGTATTATCACTATTTTTTATACTGTACTGTGATAGATACTCTTTATTGTTCCCTCCAAAAGATTACAATAGTAAACTTATTATAAATATAAACAATTACAAGAAATAATCACATGGAGAAAACAATGAGGGACCTTATCGCTAAGAGCGATCTCTTCCAGCCAACCTTTGGATGGAGAGGAGTAATTATAAACAATTTGGTGGGAGGCACGATGAAAAATTTTGTTAGTTCTAAATATGGGAGATGTGATACGTATAATAATATAAATATTATCCCTACTCATTATTATATTTATATACTTACACCTACACACACACGCATATATATATATATATATATATATATATATATATATATATATATATATATATATATATATATATATATATATATATATATTACACTAGACTTAACCACGATGGTTTCCAGAGGAAACCGCGTGATGGTCGATCTGATAGGGTGTATTGCTAGCTATGCGAAAGTCAAGTATACCCCATTACTAACAATCCCTTTCCTCCGTCCCATCTTTGTTTCCCATATAGACCTTAATTTTTTTTGGCGGAGACAAAACGACACCTTATTTTACATTTATGTTTTTGATGAAATTATGTATTACATAACAATTATGTAGTTTTTTTTAAAAACAATTCACGATCGTCTGCTTGAGTGCTTTTGGGGATAGAGTGGGAACTCTTGTTTCTAGTTTCTATTATCTAGCAGATGTCCTTGTTTGACTGTTTCGGTTTGAAAGGTAGGATCGTCATCGTCAGCCTTTAACTGTCCATTGCTGAACATAGGCGCCCCTTGGGGGGTTTTGCCAATAGTTGCCATGCTTGGCAAGCGGATAGGCTACCGCAATTGTTAGGCTTTAGAGATGTTTTAAGAGGGACGCTGCTCCCCATCTCTTGCCGTCCCTTAATCGCCTCTTATAACATCCATGTGAAAGGAAGGGCTTATCCTATGCCGAGACCAAACGGCCAGGGGATATGGCAGTGAAATTAGGGAGTATGGAGGTATAACACCATAGTCTTCAAGAATGGCATGTTTATATAATGTGATATCTTGAATACTGCTGTTTTAAATATTAGCCTAGGATCTGATAACTTCTGCAGGTGTACATTTTTTTTTATTGAAACTTAGTTTTAATGAAAGATGAGTGAAAATATCATCATCATCATCATCTCAGCCATTAGCCATTCATGTTCCATAAGGAACGATCCTGACTTCTTGCATCCACTGACCCCCTGTAATGCATTTGAGGTCGTCATCTATCGAAATGAAATAGTGGGGGAATAAAAATATTTATTTATTTATTTAATACAAAAATCCACAGCTCTTAATAAACAACTTACATGCTGTCTCTTATAAATACAGCCAATAACGGAATTTAATTATATAAATGAAAAATATAATTCTAAAGCAAGGTAGGCAAGTCAGGGCGGGTGTATGCAAGTAATGTAAAAGTAATGTAAAAAATACATATAATAAAATGCAATCAACTATAATGATTTTCAATTAAATGGTTTTGTTTCCAGTCCATCAACGCCCATTGGATTGGGGGATGGGGTCGTCCGGCCTATGGATATGGTTATGGTTACGGAGGAGTCCGTTATGGTTACGGATATGGAGGCTTCGGAGGTGTCTACGCTCCTCTGCCTCCCTTGCCTCCTCCTCCCCCGCCACTAATCTATGGTTAAAAAATGATAAAAAAAACTATTATTGTGATATAGTTAAATTATAGAATCACTAAGGACACGTATTAAGCTGACTGTTTTTTATTATTTTGTTGGTTTATTATTATTTTTGTTTTGTTTAATTCCACTAAATTATTTTGTTTAATTCCGCTACATTATTATGTATGAGATATCCATTATTATGTCATCCATTATCTGTCTACTGCTGAACATAGGCCTCTTCTATAGACTGCCAAAAAGAACGGTTCTAAGCCACTTGTATTCACTGACTTCATACAAATTATTTTAATATTATTGTTTAGCTTTCATACTCCTCACGTATACTAATGATAGCGGGATTAAACAAAATAATAAAAATAAGTAAGTAGCCAGTATTACGATTCTAATGTAAGTGCATATAGTTTAATTTAATTTTGTGACTTCATTTAGTTTTATTTCAGATTTTGTTAAAATTAAAACATTATAAATATAAATACTTTTGTTTATATTTGACATTTTATTAACAATTATTAATTCGATTTTTGTAAGAAAAATAAAATATGTGAATATTATGTTTTGCTTTTTATTTTTAATGTCGCCGTGTAGTTTAGGCATAGAATGGGCCATCCTATTCTTTCCCGTTGGTGTTGTAAGAGGCGACTAAGGATACTTATTGGTCAGGGGATGGGTAGCAGTGTCCCTTTTAAAATATCTTCAAAGCCTAACTGATGTTGCCAGACCACCTGCCAAGCGTGGTAACCCCAGAACTCTTTCATTTATTATATATAACTGTTTTGGAAATTTATTTTTGTCCAAAAATGATATACTTTCAGCCTAAGTCCCGTAGAAATTTTACCAAAATCGGTCCAATAGTTAAGTTTTAAAAACAAAACTGGCTTTGGTATGGCTGAGGCGAGTTTTTTTTAAAAGAAAATTTTTAAATTATTTAAACAATTTAAACAATAGTTGTTTTAATAAACAAAAGGACGGTAACACACTTGCAATTCCTATGGTGTCGCAGATGCTTATGGGCGGCGGTATTCATTTACCATCAGGTCAGCCGCATGCCCCTTTGCCCCCTGTGTAATAAAGTAAAAACAATGAAATCAGCATGGAGTTTTTGAAAAAGGAGGTAAAGAAATTTCTAAAGGGTCGGCAACGCGTGCATGCCTCTTGTATTGCAAGCGTTGATAGGCTACGGTAACGTCTTACCATCAGATGGGCCGTATGTCTGCATATACTCAGTGGTTTAATAAAAGATTATCAATTCGCCCCCCACCGAATAACGTAACGGTAACTATAAAAAATGTAACGGTATTTTTATCGCCCGTTTGAATAGAGAACAGCTTATAAAAAGGCTAAGGGACTAAGGCTAAGGGGTCGGTATGAATGGATAACCTAACCGCCCACCGTCTCACCCACCCCCTCCTACTCACCCCCTATTCTTTGACGTCATCCATTGAAGTCTGTATTGTAGAAGTATTTCCAATATCACGTACGACATCTGATGTCAATTTGTAGAAAAATCAGGTATTTTGTAGAAAAATCTGAATCTTGTTATGTTTTATTATACAACTTAGAATTTTGACGGTCCACTTGATGGAAAAATCTATAGACATGAGCAACCATGAACATAACAGAGTATACTGTTTCGCCCATGATACCCCCCATGCGTTGCCATTCCTGAGGACTCAGGTGTTATTCCTCTGTACCCTGTAAATTCACAACTGTTTCACGGTTAAAACACGAATTGGACAGAGGTACCCAAGCAATCGACTTTTGTACAAAGTCTCCCTCTGGTAATCTTGTTATATATATATATATATATATATATATATATATATATATATATATTTAATTGTGACATCTACCTATAGATTTATAGACAGATGTCACAATTAAAGTCTTTCTTGTTTAATTAAGTTACCGAAGATTATTGTATGGTATTGTATTGTAAAATATTTATTGTTCATAATTTACATTGGACACGTTAAAATAATTAACTTATCCCATAGAGGCATCTCTTACAGTCAACTTTTGAGAAGCTGAAACAAAACTATAGAATATTCAAGGGTAAAAATCGCACAGTTAAAAATAAACTCAATTTTGATTATGTTTAAAAAAGGTATAGAACAGTTTAGTTGTATATTATAGATTTACTTATTCAGTACCATGGACATAACAGAGTATACTGTCTCTCCTAATCCTACGTCTAGATAGCATGTAGAGATAAAACATACACTAAGATTTTAATATATATATATATATATATATATATATATATATATATATATATATATATATATATATATATATATATATATATATATATATATATATATATATATATATATATATATATATATATATATATATATATATATATATAACAAATCCTATTACATTGTGTGGGTCATAAAGGAAATCTACTGCCTGAATAAGGTATTTCAATCATTTCATTGCCACTTAGAATGGCAAACAAGCTGACGGCCCGCCTGATGGAAAGTGGTAACCGTCGCCTATAGACATGAGCAGTATAATGCACATAACAGAGTATACTGTTTCGCCCATGATACCCCTCATGCGTTGCCATTTCTGAGAACTCAGGTGTTATTCCTCTGTACCCTGTAAATTCACGCCATATCCCACCCTTCAAATCGAAATACAGCCATTTTTTTACATTCACATTTAACAAAAGAATCAACATTACTTTTTGATTAATAACAAAAAAGACTATTCAAAAATGTTTGAATTGAAGTTTACTTGAACAAAAATATTTCTTTCTTCTTTCTTTCTTTGAAGGGGGGGAGGGGGGAGGATTTGGGTGACCACTATTATTAACACGAATAATATGTCTACGAGTCTACGAAACGGTAAACTAAAAATCCATCTATGCTATAAAACGTAAATATTTTTTCATTGGAATGGTAACCCCACCTGCGCTGTCGGGGCACCAGTGAGGGATGATAGGTGAGGATGAAAGCAGGTCAGTTGACCCATCGTGACGTCACGCGACGTCCCCTAAAAACTAGTTAATTCTCGACGAATTATTATCATCATGACGAGCAATCTGACCTTTTTAACCAAATGAAAGGGTTAAGGTTTCTTCAGGATCCGCAACTTGCACGTGAGACTCCTAGTGTTGCAGGCGTCCATAGGCTACAGTGACCCGTTCACCATCAGACGGACTGTATGCTTGTGGTATAAAAAAACAAAGTCAGATAAAAGCAGCCCATAGTGACGAAATGACAAGCAATTAACTTTAAGGATTCCCACGGGACACCGAATGGGGCTATTAGTCCCCATTATTACCAGTCCCTTCACCCAGCTCCATATTACAAGGTAAACTTGTCCTTAATTACTTGCGGAGCAGAGACGGGGGCGACAGCTTGTCGAAGGGTGTTATTTTAGGAGGTGGCGATATAAAAACATAGGAAAGTAAAGCCTGGAGGATGTCAGTGTTAAGTAAATGGTTCTGGCTCGAGCTGGGACAATAAGGTGTGTTCACACTGGTGATTAGTCTAATTAACTCATCACAACAATTGTAGCTATTCATAATTTTTTTATTCTTTTATCATTTATTCATATAATTTATATATTTATCTGGTTGCGTATATAGGTATATTTTTTATGCAACTTAGAATGGCATTGTAGATCTTATAAATATCTACAAAAGTCCGCGACACAACATGAGGCACAACAATTTAAAAATCTTGAATTTTTTGGACTACATTTAAACGACGGCCCACCTGATGGAAAGTGGTAACCGTCGCCTATAGACATGAGCAGTACCATGGACATAACAGAGTATACTGTTTCGCCCATGATATCCCCCATGCCTTGCCATTCCTGAGGACTCAGATGTTATTCCTCTGTACCCTGTAAATTCACCATATTCCACCCTTCAAACCGAAATACAGCCATGCAAACAGAACTGCTTCATGGTATAAACACGAATGGGACAGACGTATCCAAGCAAACGACTTTTGTACAAAGTATCCCTCTGGTATATATTTATTCCTTTATATATATAAATATAAAATGTAAAAGGTAAAAATATAAAATGTATGTATATTATAATTTATCATTTAAAAAAATTCTGACACTTCCCTATGGTTGACTGGGAGAGAGTGACAGTATGGTAACCCTGTCGGCGCTATCGATACACTCTGGCGGGGCACCAATGAGGTATGATAGGTGATGATGAAAATGCAGATCAGTTTATCTTTATAGGTGATAATGAAATAGTAACCCCACCCGCGCTATCGGTATACACCGGCGGGGCACCAGTGAAGAATGATAGGTGAGGATGAAGCAGGTCAGTTAACCCATCGTGACGAATTCAACGAGAATTGTTCACGATGGTTTCCAGGGGGAACCACGTGGAGGTGGTATTGATAGGGTATATTGCTAGCAATGGGGCTGTCAAACTCCATTGCTAAATATCCCTTTCCCACTCAATGCAGATCAGTTAGCCCATCGTGGTAAAAACACCTGGAATTCAGCGAGATGGTTTCCAGAAAATCCTTGGAGGCTTGGTTGGGTATATTGCCAGCAATGGGGTCTTTAGTTCCCATTACTCCCTTTCCCTTTTCCTTTCCCTTGCCAGGACAAAGTTAAAAAAAATGTTGTATTAAAAAAAATTTTACAAATCGTATGGAATAGTGGAAAATTTTAAATAAAAAAAAAATTACATAATTAAAAAGTGGATACGTGGGAGTGACATAGAGATTTGGTCTCATTCTCTTCATTAGTACAACCATTCGAATCCGGGCGAGTAACTTGTTTACAATGTTAGGAAATAGGATTTATTTTTTAATGTAACGGCTCGTGCTTCCGCCACAATCGCTCATGAGTAAGGATCACGAATTGATTCCGGAACTAGTCGAGCTTTTTCGATGTAATTAGTTACAAATTTTTAATTTGTTATAATTAATTTTTAATTTGTTATGATTAATTTTTAATTTGTTATGATTAATTTTTAATTAGATGTAATTAATTTTTAATTAATTATAATAAATTTTTAATTGACTATTAAAACCCGTAATTATTACATTAAAATATAATGGGTGCTTACGAAATTTTTAATTTAATATTAAAATCAGGATAACAAGCAAAATAACGGCTGCCTGTATCGCATATTAAGTGTTTGTTTCAAGTCAGGTTTTAGTAATGTAAACCGAGCTTAATTCGCTGTAACCGCCACTCCAGTGTGCACACATCCTTAGACCCATGCATGCGCACTAAGAGCTTGAATATAGATCGAAAACCAAGCAGTATATCTCTGACTGCCGGACGGACAGCACCATGCATCGGTGAGTATTCCATATATATAATACTAGCAACAGGCCCCGGTTTCGTACGGTTATTTTGAATATAAAATCCAGCCCATGTTTAAATTTTTTTTAAATCGGTTAAGCGTTTTTTAAGTTTTGAGCTTTACATACAAAAAATATTTCTTCTTTACAAAATTAGCTTAGATGAATACCTTGGAGGTTTATAAAAGAGAGTTTTTAATATAAATGTTTTAGAATAGATCTATTTTTAAATTTAGAACGAAAGTTTTTTAAATTACACTCGGTCTAGTTCAGTTTTATTTTTTATTTAGAACTAGAGAGATTCGAATTGTAAATGACACAGTTTTTATCCAGCCAGCTTTAACTAGATACAAATTGCTTAATTAAAAAAGTATAGATTAAAAAGAAATTAAGCAAATTGACATTTATATTAATTTAAAACTAAATTTTTAGAGTTTTAAATAATGAACAGAATAGATACGATTTCATGTGTACGTAGATCACATAACCTTTTTCATTTGACTTTAAAAAAAAAGGTTTTCAATTATTGAAATTCAGGTTTTTTCTCAACTAGGGGTGTCCAAAAGTGATTTGTTTGGGTACCTCTATCCCACTCTAGTTTCTGCCGTGAAGCAGCTGTGTTCAAATGACTGTTTTACGGTTTGAAGGGTAGGATATAGTAGTAGAATTATAAGATACAAAGACATCTTTGTATTCAGGAATGGCGACTCAAGAGAGGGAGATATTGTACAAAAGTCGATTGCTTGGGTACCTCTGTCCCATTCGTGTTTCAACCGTGAAGCAGTTGTTTGCATGACTGTGTTTCGGTCTGAAGGGTGGGATATGGCGTGAATTTACTGGGTACAGAGGAATAACACCTGAGTCCTCAGGAATAGCAACGCATGGGGGGTATCATGGGCGAAACAGTATACTCTGTTATGTCCACGGTACTGCTCATGTCTATAGGCGACGGTTACCACTTTCCATCAGGTGGGTCGTCAGCTTGTTAGCCATTCTAAGTTGTATAAAAAGAAGATACCATGTAATAGTTACTTTTGTGTCGTACACGGTACTGTTATGTCTATAGGCGACTTACCACTTACCATCAGGTGGGCCGTCAGCTTGTTTGCCATTTTATGTTGTAAAAAAAAATATTGTGGACTGCCATTTATGTGATTAATACTTAGATTGTATAGTTTTTAGTTGTCGTGGATTCCTAATAGGTCCTTGTTAATCTCTGGTACTCAGTATAGATCATGTTACGTGTTACGTTTTTAGTTACGTGTTACGTTGTTAGTTACGTGTTACGTTGTTTGTTACGTGTTAACCGTTTGGGATTTTTTAAAAGAGTATAAATGAAATGGTACCCCGCCTGTGCTATCGGTATACGCTGGCGGGGCACCAGTGAGGGATGATAGGCGATGATGAAAGCCAGTCTAATAGCCCATTGTGATGAATTCACCAGGATTTAACCACTATGCTTTCCGCATAAAGGTTGACTTGATTGGGTATATAGATAGCAATGGGGCCGCTAGTCCCTGCCACTAACAATCCCTGCCCCTATCTGCGTTAGCCCCTCGGTATGGGATTTAGACCGTATTTCAAGATTTGTGGCAAAACTAACTTGTTTATCTTAATACAAGATCGCGGTAAATCCGGGCAGGGCTGTTGATAAAGATATATCCGGATAGAGTTAAAGGAACTTTTGTGAGAACAGCTCTCACCCGACTGGGGAAGAAGTGTGGGTAATGTGTTTAAGCGAGGTTCTCGATTCGGCTGAATTTTTCAACTTACTTCGAAATAGAGATTTTTTTTTAAATGGCCAATTCTAACCCTATCACGTGTTAACGCAATTGGAGTAGAAAGACCTTTATGAAATTTTGAATACCCCTTTTGAACCCCTTAGTAAAGCAAATATAAATACTTTTTCAAGTATTTCCATTGCGTTATAGATAGATAGATATATCATTTATTTGTTTGTTACTAATCACACACAACATATTCATAAGAATAGATAATACATACATACATACGTTACAACAATGTAGGAAATTATTCCAAATTTCAAGTTGATAGGCGGATGGACAGACAAAGTCGCACCATAAGGGTTCCTTTGTACACTTTTAGTACGGAACCCTAAAAAGAAAAAGGTTCTCAATTAGGCTGTATTTTGTTTTAATGTTTGTTACCTTGAAACGTTATTTATAAACCGATTTGAAAAATTCTCTTTTTATCTGAAAGGATTCCTTTCCCGTGGATGTGGTAAGAGGCGACTAAGGGAGGGCGAGGGACGGGCAGCAGCTTTTTTTTTTCCCTCTTAAAACATCACTAAAGCCTAACTGCTGTTGCTAGGGGGGAAAGGGATTGTTAGTGATGGAGCCAAATAGCCCCAAATAAAAAATATCAGATCGACCTCCACGTGGTTCTCCCTGGAAACCATCGTGGTTAATTCTAGTTGAATTCGTCAAAATGGGCTTATTTACCTGCTTTAATCCTCATCTGTCATCTCTCACTGGTGCCCTGCCAGTGTATACAGATAGCGCAGGTGTGGTTGCTATACCCTCATCACCCATTAAAAAAAACTGTGGTTGCTAATCCGCAATCCTCAAGCGGAAGACTTATGTTCAGCAGTGGACAGTGTTTTTTAATGGATGATAATGGAATGGTAATCCCGCCTGCGCTATCAGTATACGCTGGCTTGGGGGAAAGGGATTGTTAGTAATGGAGATTGAGAATCCCATTGCTAGCAATATACCCAACCAGGTCGACCTCCTCGCGGTTCCCCCTGGAAACTATCATGGTTTATTCCTGATGAATTCATCATGATGGGATGACTGGCCTGTTTTCATTCTCATCAATCACCCTTCACTGGTGCTCCGCCAGCGTATCCCGTTAGCGCAGGCGGGGTTACCATTCCATTTTCACCCATAAAAAAAGAAAAGTATACGTTGGCGGGGCACCAGTGAGGGATGAAAGATGAGGATGAAGAAGGTCAGTTAGCCCATCGTGACGAATTCAACAAGAATTATTCACGATAGTATCAGGTATAATATAATATATAATAGGTCAGTGGATCCATTGTGAAGAATTTTACAGGAGTTAACCGTAATGGTTTTTAGATGCAACCTCGTGGAAGTCGACCTGAACTTACTGTCTAGTTTGAGGTTAGAATGAAGCATGTCTGTTGGCCCATCGTGATGAATTCATCAAATATATATATATATATATATATATATATATATATATATATATATATATATATATATATATATATATATATATATATATATATATATATATATATATATATATATATATATATATATATATATTAAGTTTATTTAAACAAATGTTTAGATCTTTTATATATCGATTGAGGCAGTACGAAGTCTGTCGGGTCAGCTAGTTATTATTATAATATCTCTCACAAGTGAAGTCGGGATAATTGTCTAGTCTAGCTATGGGTATTTTCGAATGTATCGCCCCCGAAATAATCTGTTCAATAAATCATTCAGTTATGACAAAGATCTGTCTTGTTTGCATTCATTAATTTTACAAATGGCCGCTTTCACGGAATCCAATAATTTATTATAGTCATATTTGACCCGGCCTACGTTGTTTTAACCTATACCGTCAGGGGGGAAGGGATTGTTAATAATGCGGATTGTCAGTCCCATTGCTAACTAACATCTGAGTCCTCAGGAATGGCAATGCATGGGGGGTATCATGGGCGAAACAGTATACTCTGTTATGTCCATGGTACTGCTCATGTCTATAGGCGACGGCTACCACTTTCAACCGGGTAGATCGTCAGCTTGTTCGCCATTCTAAGTTACAAAAAAAATTCAATCGTGGCAAAATCAGTTTGAATCAATTTGATTTAATAACGAAACCACTAAATCGATATTGATAAAATTTCTATGGGACTAACTTGTAAATATATATATATCCTTTCAGATAAAAAAAGAATTATGCAAATCGGTTCACAACTGACGGAGTTATGACGTGACAAACATACAAAAAATAATACAACCGCATTGAGTACCTCCATCTTTTTAAAGTTGAAATTCCATCAACATCACTAAAGTGAAGACGTTGCGCATAATTTTAGCAACTTTTTGAAATTATATACTATTATTTTTCCTACTTACTACTAAGAGCTTTTAAATTAATTAGTAAGCTTTCAAAAGTTGGTACAACGAGAGCACTCTTTCAAACAAATATGCTTTTAATTTTGGTAATGAAAATTAAAGCATAAGTACATAATTATTACATCTATTAATTTTAATTTAAAAGCAAAATAATAACGTAATATGTACTTATAATAACAGTAACTTTATTTTTTTATACAAAATTAGCCTACGGTACAATACGGCGCTATGAGCGCACTTTAGGCAAAGCCTGTCTCGTGGAAGTCAAAGCAAGTAATTTAACAGTAATGGTGCGGCGAATAAGATTAATTTAAATATGTAATATTCAATGTGAGTTGGGATGTGCGTAGGTGTGGGCGTGTCCGTGTGCGTGCGTGCGTGTATGCGTGTGTACGTGCGTACGTATCTCTCTCTCTCTCTCTCTGTGTGTGTGTGTGTGTAAGGGTGTGTGCGTGTATGTGTGTGCGTAAGCAAGTAATTTAAATGTTAAATGTTGGTTAAAATTATTGTAAAAGGTTTATAAGTTCTGTTTCTGTTCTTTATTTGTTCTTAGGACGACAAAGCTCCTCTGAAATTGCATTGTGTGACCATTCAGGTTCTAGGTGAGGATGGATTCAATCTTCTTTTTTCTTCTGTCAATGGCGAGCAGTCTAGGAAAAGAGACATTTCTCTTTACGTAGACATTTTTCTTTAGTCTTATTAGTTCACAGCTAAAATTACTAAAGCTGGCAAACAATGGCAAACAAGCTGACGGCCCACCTGATGGAAAGCAGTAACCGTCGCCTATAGACATGAACAGTACCCTGAACAGAGTGTACTGTTTCGCCCATGATACCCCCATGCGTTGCCATTCCTGAGGTCTCACATGTTATTCCTCTGTACCCAGTAAATTCATGCCATATCCCACCATTCAAACCGAAACACAGCCATGCAAACACAACTGCTTCACGGTTGAAACACGAATGGGACAGAGGTAGCCAAGCAATCGACTTTTGTACAAAGTCTCCCTCTGGTAAACCTTTTTACATGATTCTAAACCAATTTACATGATTCCTTTTACAATCGATATTCGAAGCTAAAATTTTTTTCCGTCAAGAAATTCCGCTAATTGCGTTACGAAACTCACTTGCAGGATTGAAGCCATTAAATTCAAATTGTTAAAAAAGTATCATGGAACTTCACAATTTAATTTGAACGATTCATCGCAGTGGGATGGAGGTTTAATTTGATTTTATTTAATTTATATTTGTAGGCTTTCGGTAGAAATTACTACGACCTCGTACTTTTATATTTTAACTCACTTTTAACTTGTTTCAACCGTGAACCAGTTGTGTTTCCATGGCTGTGTTTCGGTTTGAAGGGTGGGATATGGTAGTGAATTTACAGGGTACAGAGGAATAACACCTGAGTCCTTAGAAATAGCAACGTATAGGGTGTATCATGGGCGAAACAGTACACTCTGTCCATGGTACTGTTCATGTCTATAGGCGACGGTTACCACTTTCTATCAGGTGGGCCGTCAGCTTGTTTGCCATTCTAAGTTGCATAAAAAAATACTTTTATATTATATAAAACCTCGGCTTTAATACGGTTATATGTTCCTCTCGTTTACATAAAACATATATATGTTCTTTACCGTTCCACAAACACGTTTAATAAACAATTTCATGAATTAGATCTCTTTTATAAACCCCTTTATGTTTTGAAAAGTTAATTAACTCAAATACTTGTGCGTTTAAATTAAATCGACATTTCTCTTTTTTCAGCTTTGATACTTATATGTATTAATGCTTTGGATTTGTTATTACTAGTGGTCGCCCCGTGGTCGAAATTCGACCATAACATATATAGTAATAAATTAATTTATTATGGTTATGTTTGACATTCAGTGAGACTATAGACAAGTAATATTAAAGGTAAACGATATTAATCTATTCTCAATTTGACCACTGACTTTAACAATAAACAAAAGTGTATAGTGTGTATGTGTCAAATACGTAGGTATTGTGTGTATTTTTTTTTATTAATTTAATGTATTTTTTATATACATACATACATACATATCTGTCACGCCTGTCTCCCATTACGGTAGGCAGAAACAATGGAACGCCAAATGCTTCGATTCAAACAAACCTCTTTCGCTCCTTCCACATTCATCAATCTTTTCATACATTCTCGCCGGTTACGGGTACTTTTACTTTGGCCCTTCTTCTTTTCTTATTTTTTATATAAATCGTTCGATATATAAACTAAAAGTGTGCCAAATTTCATACTCCTCCGTCCATATAGAAAATGTTATACGGTCGTATAATCCTACCAGACTCAGATACCAGAGGGAGACTTTGTACAAAAGTCGATTGTTTGGGAACCTCTGTCCCATTCGTGTTTCAACCGTAAAGCAGCTGTGTTTGCATGACTGTGTTTCGGTTTAAAGGGTGGGATATGGTGTGAATTTACTGGGTACAGAGGAATAACACCTGAGTCCTTAGGAATGCCAACGCATGGGGGTATCATGGGCGAAACAGTATACTCTGTTATGTCCATGGTACTGCTCATGTCTATAGGCGACGGTTACCACTTCCAATCAGGTGGGCCGTCAGCTTGTTTGCCATTCTAAGTTGTATAAAAAAAAAGATAAAACTTGCTTGCATACTTTCTACATAAACTGTGTCGAATATATAAAATAGTAATGTAAATGAACAAAAATTTTACATACACATTTTCTAGTCTGCTATGAATTGAGAACAAGAAATAGCAACTGATGGTGTATCTTTCGTCCTCTTTTTACTAATTATATTTGCATAAGAAGAAAGGAGGCAACTATATGATATATAGTTTTTATTTTATCATTTCTTCTATGTAATTCCTTGTTCTTAGCCTATATCATTCTACATCCCATATAGTACGTATATAACAAATTTCATAGATAGATACTCTTTATTGTTTCCTCCAAAAGACTACATAAGTAAATTATAATACTTCATAGCGATTAGTTTTTTTTTATAGGTGATAATGGAATAGTAACCCCATCCGCGCTATCGGTATACACCGGCGGGGCACCAGTGAATGATGATAGATGAAGATGAAACAGGTCAGTTGGCCCATCGTGACGAATTCAACGAGAATTGTTCACGATAGTTTCCAGGGGGAACCGCGTGGAGGTTGACCTGATAGGGGATATTGCTAGCAATGGGGTTGTCAAACTCAATTACTAACAATCCCTTTTCCCCCCATAGTGATTGGTTAAGCCGTTAAGGCGCTATAAGGTAACAAACAAACTCACATTCACATTTATAATATTAGTAAGGACGTATCTTACTAAGGCTGGATTGATGATGATGATGATGAGATGATGATGATGATGTACAATAACTTGAAGACGTATTTATTTATTCAACTGTAAATTTTGTCCGTAGCACCACCATGGCTGTCAACGCGTTCCTGGTGCTGAGCTGTGTGGCCACTGCCCACGCGTGGGGTGGCCTATTCAACCGGTTCAGCTCCGATATGCTGGCTAATTTGGGCTACGGGAGGGGCCCGTATCGCCACTATGCGTATGGACAGGTAAGTTTAAATCTTATATTTATTTTACGCCGTGTGGTTCCGGCATAGAATGGACCACCTTTTCCTTTCCAGTGGGTGTCGTAAGAGACGGTTAAGGGAGGAAGAGGGAAGGGTAGCAGCGTCCCTTGCCCTCCTTAGTCTCCTCTTATGACACCCACGGGAAAGGAAGAGGTGACCCATTCTATGCCGGGACCATACGGCGGTTTGCCTTCTATTAGGCTTATTTGTACACTTAATATCTTTTTTTTTTTAAATATCTTTCATGTACAGATGTCGTGTACTTACAATTTTATTGTATTGTATACAATTGCAAACAAAAAGATTACAATTGTGAAAAATCTAAATTAATTAATTAAAAATCTAAATTCTTTTTGATTTTGTCACAATTAAAGTCGGTTTTTTTGTGGGATACAATATTATACTAAAATTTATATTATTGGCACACATTATACAATTATCTAAAGTATAAGAAAAGAAGGATAAGGCAAGAGGTAAAAGATAAGAGAAGAAAAGAGAAGAGAATGCGGTTTTATTTCACATTTCACACACAATTCGCTTGCAAAAAATATTAAGTAAGCTATGAATCAGTTTTTTTTTTACGTTTGAAATTATATCGAATATTAATACAGGATGAAACAAGAAGAGGTTGAAACAGGGAAAGGTTGAAACAGGGATGTCAGTAAATACAAAATCTGTGGCAAGCGGAACGGGTACTGAAATTGTTTGCATTTCCTCCATTTCCTTTGTACGTGAACGGGATGCAGCCTCTTGAACCGATAAAGCCATAACTATAATAAATAAAAAAATAAAAATTAAAACAGAAAGGGAGATTGTATATAAAAGTTTTATGTAAGACTATCGTACTTACTGTATTGTGTTTATTTATTTATCTATTTAACTCTTTATTGCACCATAAACAAATACAATGACAAGTGAATAATTCAAGTGAAATACAGATTTAAATATACACATAAAGGTACAAAAGGCGGTCTTATCGCTAGGGCAATATCTTACAGACAACCTTTGGTTTTTTTTTTTTTATACAACTTAGAATGGCAAACAAGCTGACGGCCCACCTGATAGAAAGTGGTATCCGTCGCCTAAGAAGCAGTACCATGGACATGTTTGTTTGAATGATACCCATTTGCGCTGCCATTTGAGGACTCAGGTATGTATTCCTCTGTAAGTTGTTAAACATATCCCACCTTTCAAATCGAAACACAGCCATGCAAACACAACTGCTTCACGGTTGAAACACGAATGGGACAGAGGTACCCAAGCAATCGACTTTTGTACAAAGTCTCCCTCTGGATTATATAAAGATAGGTGTATGTCACACATAGCAGACGTATTTTAATAGTTTTACCGTGTGATAGACTCTGAGCCCGAACCAACGTCTAATCGCAGATTGCATATATCTGTGAAAAGAAAAAAAGAATTAAAATTCCTTCTTTATAGTTTTTTTAATGGATAAAAATGAAATGGTAACCCCACCTGCGCTATCGGTACACGCTGGCGGGACACCAGTGGGGGATGATAGGTGAGGATGAAAGCAGATCAGTTAGCCCATTGTGATGAATTTAAGAATTAATCACATTGGTTTCCACGTGGCTGGGAACCACGTGGAGGTTGACCTGATAAGGTATGTTGCTAGCAATAGAGCTGTTAGACCCCCTACTAACAATCCCTTCCCCCACTTTTTTTATTTGAGACCAATCTGAAAGTATATCCTTTCAGGTAAAAAAAAAATTCAAGTCGAGTTGTAAATGTAGGAGTTATGAGATTATATATATATAAGAACGCATGGGGGTATTTTTTTTAATGGCTGAAAATGGAATGGTAACCCCGCCCATGCTATCTGTATACACCGACGAGGCACCAGTGGAAGATGATAGGTGAGAATGAATGCAGGTCAGTTGGCTCGCCATGATGAATTAAACATGATGATTTCCGCACGGATGGAACCGCGTGGAGGTCGTGAGAGGATATATTGCTAGCAATGGGGCTATTAGAACTTATTACTAACAACCCTTTCCACCCATGGGAGGTATCATGGACGAAACAGTATACTCTGTTATGTCCATGGTACTGCTCATGTCTATAGGCGACGGTTACCACTTTCCATCAGGTGGATCGTCAGCTTGTTTGTCATTCTAAGTTGCAATAAATGTAATTAATTTAATTATGTCTAGTTTATTTAAAAATTGTACACCGCTCTACCCGCTGACATTGACGCTCCTTTCCACTTTGCGTGTTGCTGGAAGAGAACTCTGTTAGAGTTAAGCTCGCCTTTGTACATTTGATTACCACTGTCATATTCTTATAACTGGTGTGTACAATGAAGAATTAAATATCAGTATAGAATATCAGTGTTTTGCTCTTTTAAGGGCAAAGCAATAGAGTTGTGGCCATTTTGTGTTACTGTGGCACACACATGAAGGAAGGGAAAGAAAGGATAGATAGATAGATAGATACTCTTTATTGTTTCCTCCAAAAGATTACAATAGTAAACTTATTATAAATATAAAGAATTACAAGAAATAATAACAATGAGAAAACAATGGGCGACCTTATCGCTAAGAGCGATCTCTTCCAGGAGATTGTTAGTTTATATATTTTGTTTTTTTTATTTGTGCTTTTTTATTTTCATTCTTTTATCTCTTTTACTGTGTATTATGTGTATGTTTTTTTATTTTAATTTGTGTGCTGTAAGTAATGTAAATAAATTATCTATCCATCTAAATGAATAAACAAATAAAAATAAAAAATGAAACAATCTCACCAGGTTCGTCATCGTCCTCGTCGTCGTCGTCGTCGCATGCCGTTGCATGTAAGAATAAGAACGCCATAAGTACAATTATCTTGTACATCCTGTATGAACGTGTTCGACTGACTTGTATCGATTGAGAGTAAGCGCTCGTACTGTATTAGCAATATGACAGCGGGTTTCCTATTTTATATCGACTGATAATAGTTTATAGCCACGTTTTTAGACTTTTATTTGCATTTTTACATTACTTTTTTTATGTACAAATACACATGTAGTTAATACCTACGACTTTGTTCGCCTGTTACTATTATTTTTCATAAAAAATCTAAATATCACTATTTTGTTTTTTTTTTATGAAAAATAATGGTAACTCCGCCTGCGCTATCGGTATATGTTGGCGGGGCACCAGTGAGAGATGATAGGTGAAGATGTAAGCAGGTCACTTGGCCCATCTTGACCACTTCATCAATAATTAAATACGATGGTTTCCACCGCGTGAAAGTGGACCTGTTAACCCTTCTAGTATGTAAAATACTGGTGGAAATTTCCATCATAACATTGAATGCCCAAAAATTATATATAAGAACAAGTTCACTTCAAGTTGATCGTGTCTGGATACCTTTTTAATGTCCATTGCAGAAAAAAAAATCATAACTGTCAATTTTATTTTTTTAACCACTTTTCTTTTAGTTTTGGACATGAATTATATTACTTTGATTTAATTCACCAATAAAAAAAAAATCATGCAAACCATGATAGTTTCTAGAGAGAACAGCTGACCTGGTTGGGTATATTGCTAGCAATGGGATTCTCAGTCTCCATTACTAACAATCCCTTCCCCCAGCAAAGAAGTGTTAAGGTATATTGCCAGTATATTGCTATATTGCTAATGGGGCTGTTTTTTTAATAGATAATAGTGGTAACCCCGTCTGCGCTACTGGATATGTTGTAAACCAAATTTAGATTTTTTTTCTGAAAGGAATGTAAACCGCATCCAATTTCGTGTAGTAACTTTTACATGATCTAAGAAAAAACATATAGACAGAAAGGAAGACAAATTTTCAAAAAAATATTGTTTTAGTTTCTGTTGGGTACTCTTATTAAGATCGTTATTTTTATAATTTTTTTAATTATCTCCCATGTACAAACACCGCCCAGTTACAATTTCATTATACTAGCAAGACACGTGTAGCTGTTTGAGTAGTAAACGTATAAATATTATTAAAAAAATAGTGACCTTTTTTTAAAACTTTTTATATACTTTTTATTGTTCCCTTTCAAAAAATCATACAAATTATAAAAATTAATAATATGAAAAACAAAATAAAACAATTAATTATTTCTCTCTCTCTTTGTCCACTTCATCACTGGACATGAAGATCGTGTCCTTGAAAGGTGTCTGTTGCCTCTCTTATGGTATTTCTCCATTTCGCACGGTCTTCAAGCTCTCGCAGGGCAGCTGCAATTGATAGTCCCGTAACGGCGGTTACTTGGTCCGACTATAGACTAGGTGATCGTCCGCGTGGTCTTTTTCACTCTATCTTGCGTACAACCATTAGCTTGTCCAGATTGTCGGATTGTCGGCGAGCAATATGACCAAAGTATCCGAGAATCCTCTGATAACAGACTGTCGAGAGCCTATCTTTTATTCGGAGTTGCGACAGGATGGATATGTTCATGCGCTTTCCTGCCTAGGGAATTCGCAGCATCCTTCGCCAGCACCATATCTCGAGAGCATCAATCTTTTTCCGCTCCTTTGCTCTTATTGTCCAAGGCTTGACTCTATACAAAAATATCGAGAAAATCAGAGAAAAACACTTAATTACACAAAAGCAAGACAAAGAGCCAACGGTGGGCGGCCTTATCGTTAAATAGCCATCTCTTTCAGGCAACCTTAAAAAGTGAGGATCCTGTATACCTAAACTGGGTTTTACACTTGTGCTATAGGCATCAGTGCTCTCTTGTTTTGTAAGAATGGCGTTATAAACCAAATTTATAACGCCAACCGTCACTAGCATATACATAAATAATTAGCGCTTACATAATATATATATATATATATATATATATATATATATATATATATATATATATATATATATATATATATATATATATATATGTATATGTATATATGTAAGTAAAAATATGTATGGGCATTGAGACATTATCAATCAACAAGTAAAGTTGAGCAAGGAGACATTCCTTTATCTGAGTGCTCGCAGTCAATCACAGGAATTTCCATTCAGTTGCCAAGCGTGGTAACTGAGAAAATAGGCTTATGTTCAGCAGTGGGCATGATATATGGAGGTTGATATAATGATTTTTGTCAGCCGGCGTCAAAAAGGTGGAGATTCTAGTCATTTGTATTTTTTTTTTACGTTTGTTAATTCATAACTCCGTCAGATCTATATAGATATGCAAATTTTTTTTTTATCAGAAAGGATATATTATTATTATTTCAGCCGTTAACTATCCACTGTTGGACATAGTTTTGCCAGTAGTTGCCAGGCTTGGCCGGCGGGTTGGTAACCGCAGTTAGGCTTTTAAAGATGTTTTAGGGGGACGCTGCTGCCTATCCTTCGTCTTCCCTTAGTCTCCTCTTACGACACCCACGGGAAAGGTAGGGGTGGCCTATTGAATGTCGGGGCACACACTTAGAGATTAACCTCATAGAAATTTCAACAAAATTGTTTCATTAATTGAGTTTTTAAATAAAAAAAATGGGGGTTTTCATAATAGAAGCCGGGTTCTTTTGTGGGATACAATCCTGTATTATACTAATATTATTTATAATAATTATTATTTATGCATATTATATAATTATCTAAAGTACAAGTAAAGAAGGATAAGGCAAGAGGTGAAAGATAAGAGAAGAAAAAAGAAGAGAATGCGGTTTTATTTCAAATAATTACACAATTTGATTGTAAAATACATTTAGTAAGTTATGATGCAGCTTTCTTTAATTTCGAAATTACATCGAATATAAGTACAGGATGAAACAAGAAAAGGTTGAAACAGGAATGATAGTAGTCACAGATGAAAGCGTATTGTTCAATCGAAGCGAAAATATTATCATTTCCATCACACCTTCCATCCATGTACGCTACGCAGCCGTTTGCTATAATCTAACTGAAATTGAAAAAAAATTACCATGAGTCAAATTTTAGAGGGAGATTGTTTATAAAATATTCATACAAGACTATCATGTTTATTAAGTTGTATTTCATCAGTTAAATGTGTTTGAATATGAGTGAAAGAAAGTAAAAAAGAGGATAGACTTTTACCTAAAAGAGAGAGAGAGAGAAAGAGAGAGATACTCGTGCTCTGCAGAGATACGAGTACATACATATTATACATACCCTTCAAATAAAAGAAATTTTAAATCAGTGTAAATGACGGAGTTCTGAGGTAACTAATATAAAAAATATATCTGAATATCTATGTATTTTTGAGTGATAAAAACCTAATACACTAGTAAACTAGTAATCCATCCCGGCCTTACATGGGTAGATTTTTTCATACCACTGAGGTGGCAAACAATCGTACGGCCCACCTGATGATGAGCGGTTACCATATCTTATGAACGTCTGCAATACAAAGGGCATTGTGTGTGCATTGCCAGTCCTAAAGGAATCTTTTTATCTCTTTTTTGAAGAACCCTGTATTATAGATAGAATTGGTCTCTGTGTTGTAAATAGAATTTGCGAAAATTATTATGTAGTATATGTTACTCGCTGATATATGCTTTTTATGGGTGTAAGAAATTTTAAAATCGGTTGAGTTTATACATTCGAAAAAAGTAATTAAATCGTTCCTCTTTATAATATCAGGATAAGTAAATGTCGTACGTCGGTATACGCTGGCGAGGCACCAGTGAGGGATGATAAGTGAGGATGAAAGCAGGTCAGCAGGTCATAACCATTGTGATGAATTTTAGAATTAATCCCGATAGTTTTCAGGGGGAGCCACTTAGAGGTCAACCTGATAAGGTACATTGCTAGCAGTAGGGCTGTTAGACCCTCACTAACAATCTTTTACCACACTTTTTTATCGCTACTCTATAAAGGACTGTCGCTAATGGTAGACTGCATGTGCCGTCTGTAAAGGGAAATACCCATAAAACCTCGACTGTATGGGTTTAGCAAATAAGGATCCTTCTACAAAAATTAACCTCTATCCCACTCGTGTTTCTGTTGTAAAGCAGTTGTGCTCGAATGGCTATGTTCTGGTTTGAAGGGAGAAATTTGGCAATCGATACCAATGACACAAAGGCATAACACCTCCATTAGTATTATTATATATACTTTTATACCGGCCTCCATAGACCACCACAAAAATAATAACCAATGTGGGGATACTATTTCTTTCATTCTTTGTTCTGTCATATCCTTGGCACTGTTTCTGTCTATAGGCAATGATTGCCATTTTTCATACGGTGCTTATTTTGTTTTGACATATTCTAAGGTTTTATCAACAGACTTCAAAAAGAAATAAAGTAAGTTAATTTGATGTAGGTTAAATTTTAACTTATCTAATAGGATACGTTAAAAAACAAACTCACCAATATTCTTAATTGCTTCGAGTAGCGCTACATGTAAGAATAAGAACGCCATAAGTACAATTAACTTGTACATCCTGTATGATTGATGATTTGTATCGATTGAGTATGACAGTATGACAGCGGGTTTCCTATTTTATATCGACTGATAATAGTTTATAGCCACGTTTTTAGATTTATATTTGCGTTTTTACATTACTTTTTTATGTACAAATACACATTTAGTCAATACCCGCGACTTTGTTCGACTGTCAGTGATATTTAGATTTTTTGTCAAAAATAATGGTAACCCCACATGCGCTGTTGGTATACAATGGCGGGGTACCAGTGATAGATGACTAATGAGGTTGAAATCAGGTCAGTTCAATTCAATTCAATTTATTTTATTCGTTACAATATTGCATTGTGTTGAATATTTTTGCAAGTGACAAGAAGATATCGTAAAATATAACAAACAAAAAAAAATATGAAGCAACAAAATAACCAATAATAATTGTCAAAAAATAACATTACAATTAATTTAAAAGTCATCAGTAAGGCATAAAATAATGAAAGAGTATTTTAAAATTCATCAATTGAGTAGATGCACCTTTCCAACAAAAGAGTACAAAGTTTTATTTTCAAAATTCTCCAATCTTTAATAGTTTTTAATGCAGTGGGTAATTTATTATACAATTTAATCGTTACAGTTAGCCCATCCTGACGAATTCAACTAGAATTAGCCACGATGGTTTCCAGGGGGATCCACGTGGAGGTCGACCTGACAGGGTATATTGCTAGTAATGGGGCTATTTGACCTCATTATTAACAATCCCTTTCCCCCCCGACTTTATGGGTTTAGCAAATAAGGATCCTTGTACAAAAATTAACCTCTATCCCACTCGTGTTTCTGTTGTAAAGCAGTTGTGCTCGAATGGCTACGTTCTGGTTTGAAGGGAGAAATTTGGCAATCAATACCATTAATACCAGTATTATTATATAACTTTTATACCGGCCTCCAAAGACCACCACAAAAATAATAACCAATGAGGGGATACCATTTCTTTCATACTCTGTTCTGTCATATCCTTGGTACTGTTTCTGTCTATAGGCAATGACAGCGATTTTCCATATGGTGCTTATTTTGTTCTGACATATTCTAAGATTTTATCAACAGACTTCAAAAATAAATAAAGTAAGTTAATTTGATGTAAGTTAAATTTTAACTTATCTAATAGGATACGTTAAAAAACAAACTCACGATTTTCCTTAATTGCGTCGAGTATCAATATATATAAGAATAAGAACGCCGTAAGTACAATTAACTTGTACATCCTGTATGAACGTGTTCGACTGACTTGTATCGATTGAGAGTAAGCGCTCGTACTGTATTAGCAATATGACAGCGGGTTTCCTATTTTATATCGACTGATAATAGTTTATAGCCACGTTTTCACACTTTTATTTGCATTTTTACATTACTTTTTTATATACAAATACACATGTAGTTAATACCCGCGACTTTGTTCGTCGGTAGTTAGGAATGTCGAATAATTTATAGATTTTAACGTCATCTACATAATTATGGTAAAATTTAACAAAAAACTTGAATTAATATCGTTTACAAACTTAATAAACAGTATGGCCCTAGAATTGATCCTTGCGGTATTCCTATATATATAAATTATCAGACTCATAACTCACTATTTACAGAAACTTAATTATACAAAAGCAAGACAAAGAGGCAACGGTGGGCGGCCTTATCGCTAAATAGCCATCTTTTCCAGGCAACCTTAAAAAGAGAGGAGTTACATGAACCCAAACTGGCTTTTACACCTGTACTATAGGTTTCAGTGCTCCCTTGATTTGTAAGACCAAATTTTGACACCAACCGTCACTAGCATAAACATAATTAATTAGCACTTACATATTTATTTATGTTTTATTTATTTACTCTTTATTGACCACATTACAAAAAAAAATGTCTGGTACAAAAGGCAGACATAATAGTATATAGCATTCTCTCCCAGTCAACTACATATTAGTACATTTAAAACTAAGAATTTATACGTTGTGTGTGTGTGTGTGTGTGCGTGTGTGTGTGTGTGTGCATATATTTGCAGTTATAAAAGCTTAATCGTAATACGTTAATCTTTTTTTGTTAATTTTGTTGTCAATTGTCTCATCATCATATTCGCTGTCCACTGTCCACTGCTGAACATAAGTCTCCCCCTCTTGAGGAGTTTTGTCAGTAGTTACCACGCCTGACAGGCGGATTGGCAATCGCAGTTAGGCTTTGGAGATAGAGAGAAAGACTCGTCCTCCCTTAGTCGCCTCTTACGGCACCCACGCGAAATGAAGGAATGGCCTATTTTATGCCGGGACCATACGGCTATAAATTGTCTATATAAGGTAAACTATATTTTCTAGCAGTATCCCAATCCTTGCCATGTAATAAAATCACAATGTTGTCTGCGTAAGCTATAATTTTAGTAAAAGAAAGTGATAGGTCACATAGTTCATTTATGTAAATCAGAATAAGGAGAGGAGACAACATACTTCCCTGAGGGATACCGAAATCTATTTTCTCTTCTATGCTAACATAGTTACTGATTTTAGTGCATTGTGAACGATTAGTAAGATAATCCGTGTACAATTTAAGAGCTAGACCTGGTATCCTTACACGTTCTAGCTTATTTACCAGTAAGGGGATTGAGACGTTATCGAATGCCTTCGATAAATCTAAGAAAACACCCATGCATTTGTTCTTAGCATCAAGTTGATCAACAATAAAGTTGGGCAAGGAGGTATTCCTTTACCTGAGTGCTCGCAGCCAATCAATTCATCTGTCAAGCGTCAAGTTTATTCGACAATAAAATTGAGCAAAGCGTATTCTGTAGATACAGCTGTTTTGCAAATGCAAAATGCATTATTATTCAATCTTATGACTTATAACACATCTTCTGTACTTTCATAGTTTAATGTAAAAAGCTATTTAAAGAGCTTATGTTTGCAGTTATAGAAACTTAGTTGTTATGTATTGATCTTTTTATTAATATTGCTGTAATTAATAAATATCTGTCCAAGGTAATAAGGGAATCTTTGGATAAAAGGTGTGTCGCATTTTGGGGTTATTAAATAAAAGTTACTACGACGTTTTTCGCAGCGAACATAAATATTTGCAAATTTTTTATCTTATGTAAGCCAAGTACAAGTTTTCAATGATCAATTATCTTACAGTTAGAACTTTATTCTCTTCGTATAGAAGTACAGTAGAATAAGTGTGTGGGCAAAATTATTAGCTTTTAGAATACATCTTTGCGCTCTTTCTAGCATGAGAACGTGTCCCATATGCACTTCCTCAGAAATCGATACAGTACAGAATAAGAGATTGGCATATAGCAAAGTAAATTGTTTTCATTAATTTTGGACTGACGATATTTATATGGTCGAATATTTTTGAACACTACAATTACTCTACGAATTCTAATACGAGGACAAATCAATATGTGGTTTTAAAGAATGATTACTAATAATGTATTTTATTTAATAAGTGAAAATTAAATAGGAATCCCGCCTGCGCTAGTTGTATACGCTGACGGAGTCCAGTGACGGCTGATAGGTGAGGAATTACGTGGAGATCGACCTGACAATGATATATCTTATATATAAAATTCTCGTGTCACGGTGTTTGTTACCAAACTCCTCCGAAACGGCTTTAACCATATTTATGAAATTTTGTGTGCATATTCGGTAGGTCTGAGAATCGGCTAACATCTATTTTTCATACTCCTCAATGATAAGGGTGACCTTCCCCAAAAAAATTTTTTTCCCCAAAAAACATTTAGAATTATCTAAAGTACAAGGAAGGAAGGATAAGGCAAGAGGCGAAAGATAAGAGAAAAAAATAGAAGAGAATGCAGTTTTATTTCAAATTATTACACAGTTTGATTGCAAAAAAAATATTAAGTTAGTTATGATAAAGTTTTTTTTTACTTTTGAAATTACATCGACTTTTGACATTAATACGGGATGAAACAAGAAGAGGTTGAAATAGGAAAAGGTTGAAACAGAAATGTCAGCCGCAGGCGACGATGCATTCGTTGTAAGTATCGAAATTATTAGCGTTCCCGTCACACCCCCCGTACGTGAACTCTACGCAGTCGTGAACTGCTACATCATAGCCGTATCTAAAAAAAAAAAAAAAATAAACAAAGATAAAAAATTAATCTGATTTAAATTCTTTTTTCGAATTGATATCGCGTTTAAATGTTATTTATTTATTTACTTACTTTTGCCCACATTAGAATATGTCTACAGGGCGGACTCAATGCCTGATGACATTCTCTACCAGTCAACCGTTACGATAAACAAAGAGTGTTTGAGTTATTCATTACAAACAAACAAACATTTCCTCTTTGTAATGTTAGTATAGAAAGACACACATCATCATTATCGTTTCAACCGTTAACTGTCCGCTGTTAGGGGGAAAGGGACTGTCAGTAATGGAGACTGAGAATCCCATTGCTAGCAATATACCCAACCAGGTCGACCTCCTTGCGGTTCCCCGGAAAAATGAGAACTATTTGAAGGTTGACCTGATAATCCCATTGCTAGCAATATTTAGCGGTTTATTTATTAGCGGTTTTTCTTGGAAACTATCATGGTTAATTCCTGATGAATTCATCACGATGGGCTAACTGGCCTGTTTTCATTCTCATCTATCACCCTTCACTGGTGCTCCGCCAGCGTATCCCGTTAGCGCAGGCGGGGTTACCATACCATTTTCACCCATTAAAACATTCTATGTCGGGACCATACGATGGATATAATACATATTCGATTTATTTAATAATTTTACCTTTTCAAAACCCCTGGGCACGAACCAGTCCTTAATGGCAGATGACATATACTCGTATCTGTGATCAGAAAAAAAAAAATACTTGACGCATTTGTAGATTGTGTCCTAAATTAGCGTTTAGGTTTCTATATATAATGGATCACGCGAGCAAAGCCGCTGGATATATCTAGTAATGTTATAAAATTGATGTTTGCCATCGCACCGCTCGCCATCGACAGGGAATTTATCCTCACACGCTTGAACCTAAATGGTCACGTACAGTGCGGTTTCAGAGATATTTTCTCCTACAACTGCTCAAGCCATGGAATTTACCGATGTTATCCCTAGAGACTACAGTATGGGGTTCTTCAAAAAAGGTATATTAAGGGTTCTTCAGGGTCGGCAACGCGCACGTGACACCTCTAGTCTTGCAAGCGTCCATAGGCTACAGTGACCGTTTACTATCAGACTTATATATGTATGTATGCTTGCTTGCTACCTTTGTGGTCTATCTATCCTATTTAAGAGCTGCGCTCTTGTCGGTGGAGCTCTTGCCGCTCACTACGATTTGCAGCGAGTCTCTTCACCTCTTGATACGACACGACACCAACTCCTTCCTTGATCTGCCTTGATGTAACTATGTCTCGGTCTCCCTCTCCCCTTCTTCCTTCTATCTTACCTTCTATTATAATGTTCATAAGTTCGTCGTGTCGTATCAAGTGTCCTAACATTTTTCCCCTTCTGTCCTCAATAGTTCTTTGTGGTATAAAAAACGAAATAAAACAATCTCACCATAGCCTCCACAATCGTTGCATGTCGCTGCATGTAAGAATAAGAACGCCATAAGTACAATTAACTTGTACATCCTGTATGAACGTGTTCGACTGATTTGTATCGATTGAGAGTAAGCGCTCGTACTGTATTAGCAGTATGACAGCGGGTTTCCTATTTTATATCGACTGATAATAGTTTATAGCCACGTTTTTAGACTTTTATTTGCATTTTTACATTACTTTTTTATGTACAAATACACATTTAGTTTATACCCGCGACTTTGTTCGCCTGTCAGTGATATTTTGATATTTTTTTGGTAATAATAATAGTAATCCTGTCTGGGTGTTATAGAGGAACGATTAAATAAGTTGGAACGCCTACAGAATTTGTGCATAGATAAATAGATAGATAGATACTCTTTATTGTTTCCTTCAAAAGATTAAAATATTAAACAAAAGTTAAGCTTTGGTGATGTTTTAAGAAGGACGCTACTACTCGTCTCTGGATCATTAAGTTCTTTTAGTAACTTCTTACGATACCCAGAGACCCAGACCCTTTACTAGAGGGAGACTTTGTACAAAAGTCGATTGCTTGGACACCTCTGTCCCATTCGTGTTTCAACCGTGAAGCAATTGTGTTTGCATAGCTGTGTTTCGGTTTGAAGGGTGGGATATGGCGTGAAATTACTGGGTACAGAGGAATAACACCTGAGTCCTCGGGAATGGCAACGCATGGGGGGTATCATGGGCGAAACAATATACTCTTTTATGTCCATGATACTGCACATGTCTATAGGCGACGGTTACCACTTTCCATCAGGTGGACCGTCAGCTTGTTTGCCATTCTAAGTTATATATATAAAAAAAACCCATGTGACGGGGTGGCATATTCCATTCCTAGATTACACGACTTAATATTAGTATTAGTAATTAATTACTGTATCAATTTTGATGAAATTTCTATGAGTACAATCTATAAATATATCCTTTCAGATAAAACAAAAAGTTTTCCAGATAGGTTTACAAATGACCGACTAAAACATTGTTTTGATTTCTGTTAGGTACTTTTGGGATCCTGCCTATCAATTTTTCTCATAATATCTTCTAAGTAGGTACAGTTTGGTTAAAATTTTTTGTTTATATTAATATTTGTAGCTGTTTAAGCGTGATCGAGTCATTATTATATAAAAATCATTAAAAATTATTGACATTCATTAGATATCATTTTTATTTTACAACGAAGAAAAATTTTTTATTATTAACCGGAAAAAATAAAAAATATATAAAAAAATAACATTACAAATGTTTATGTTTGTATTTAATGACTTAACTATTATTTCTAGCTCACGTTTGTGGCTACATGTACATGGCTATATAATTTATTATATTTTTTAATGGGTGAAAATGGAATGGTAACCCTGCCTGCACTATCGGTAAACGTTGACGGGGTAATAATGATGTTTGGTAAATAAGGAATCACGTGGAGGTCGATCTGATTTTTTTTATACAACTTACAATGGCAAACAAGCTGACGGTCCACATGATGGAAAGTGGTAACCGTCGCCTATAAACATGAGCAGTAACGTGGACATAACAGAGTATACTGTTTCGCCCGTGATACCTCCCATACCCTAACCTTTTCATTAATCTAATTAATTTTCCAAACCCACGACATGAAAGATTGATATTTCCTATTTTAGTTGGCATTAAACGGTCTATCTAATTTTAATATCAAATTTTATTTATTGTCATAATTAATTCGATAAAGGTCACTAAACAATAAGGCTTGTTCCGTTGACCTTTGAAGGAGAATAAACAAGTGTGCGCATCTATAAAGGGAATTAGGTGACGTCAGTTACAATGATTGGTCAGTTTTTAGGGTTGCGTATCCAAATTGGACAAAAAATTATTGTAGGGCAACTTTGTCTAGTTGCCCGTCGTCTACAGCGCTGTATCCCAGTAACTACATTTTTTTATACCACAAAGGTGGTAAACAAGCATACAGTCCGTCTGATCGTAAACGGTCACTGTAGCCTATGGATGCTTGCAACACTAGGAGTGTCACGTACGTGTTGTACAACTTAGAATGGCAAACAAGCTGACGGTCCACCTGATAGTAAGTAGTAACCGTCGCTTATAGACATGAGCAGTACTGTGGACATAACAGAGTATACTGTTTCGCCCATGATACCCCCCATGCGTTGCCATTCCTGAGGACTCGGGTGTTATTCCTCTGTATCCTGTACACAACTATGTTAATAAAACTGCTTAACGGTAGAAACATGAATGAGACAGAGGTACCCAAGCAATCGACTTTTGTACAAAGTCTCCCTCTGGTAAAACTTATTGTGTATAATTATGTTACATATAATTTACCTATTGACTGCCTATAGTGTGTTAGGGTATCTACATCTGTAACCAGAGGGAGACTTTTACAAAAGTCGATTGCTTGGGTACCTCTGTCCCATTCGTGTTTCAACCGTGAAGCAATTGTGTATGCATGGCTGTGTTTCGGTTTGAGGGTGGGATATGGCGTGAATTTACTGGGTACAGAGGAATAACACCTGAATCCTCAGGAATGGCAACGCATGGGGGGTATCATGGGCGAAACAGCATACTCTTTTATGTTCATGGTACTGCTCATGTCTATAGGCGACGGTTATCACTTTCCATCAAGTGGGCCGTCAGCTTGTTTGCCATTCTAAGTTGTATAAAAAAAAACCATAGGTATAATTGTATAAATAAACACAAATAATTTGAACCCAGTAAAATAAAACGCAAAAAAATGTTATTTCTTGTAATCAATCATCATCATCAGCCTTAACTGTCCACTGATGTTTTTTTTTGTCTCATTCAATCTATGTTAGTTGAACTTAAACCAGAAATTTTTTAACATCTCTGTAAATTATTGATGCCCATTAATTCTTCTCTTTCCGCGTCCAGGGAAAGTAGATAAAGTTTTGTTTGAGAAATCAGTTCAGGGTACGATAGGACTGACACACCTGAATAAGGTAAAAGCCCTTAAAATAATAAAAAAAAAATCAGCCTTAACTGTCCACTGATGTTGCCAGTAGTTGCCACTTTTGGCAGGTTGATTGGTAACCGCAGTTAAACCTTTAAAGATGTTTTAAGAGGGACGTTGCTGTCCATCTCTCGCTCTGCATTAGACGCCTCTTACGACACCCACGGGAAAGGAAGGGGTGGCCCATTCTATGACAGGACCACACGGGCAATTTAAATAATTATTAAAATATAAAACTTTGAACGAAACTCGAAATATAATAGATTTTTTTCTACGCCTGAAGGCAACGTTTCATTTCAAAAATATAATTTAATAATCTTGTCTCCATAAAAGTTCAGTCCATGTTATTTCAGTCTACAATGAGTTTTCTCTGAAATCGAATAGAAAATGAGTTTGATTTTGTGTATTTTTCTTTTTTTTTACATCAACATTTTCATTTGTTGAACTTTAACGGAAATTATCCTCCTTCCCATCAATCAGAACTAAGTACTTTATATTGTTCTCAATTTCGTGTATAATATAGTAACAAAGACATTAGAGGTAGCTCAGAAATATCTGGAGTCGGATTTTGGACGTGTGTTCCCGGCATAGAATAGGCCACACCTTCCTCTCCAGTGAGTATCGTCAGAGGCTAAGGGAACTTAGCGGTCAAGAGATGGGCAGCAGTGTCCCTCTTAAAACATTGCCAAAGCCTAGCTATGGTTGCCAACCCGCCTGCCAAGCGTGGCAACTACTGGTTAAACTTCCTTTATGGGGGAGGCTTATGTTCAGCAGTGGATAGTTAACAGCTGATATGATGATGACGAAACCTCACCTTCAATTAAATAACAAAATAAAACTTAGCAATGTATCTGATCATGTCGATCTCCAAGCGATCCCCCCTGGAAACCATCGTGATTGATTTATTGTTCAATTCTTCACGATAGGTGAACTGACCTGCTTCATCCTCACCTATCATCCCACACTGGTGCCCCGTTAGCGTATACCGTAAGCACAGACAGGGTTAAATTCCATTTTTATCCATTAAAAAAAAATATTATAATAAAGATAAAATGCACACAATAAAAAATAAATAAACACGAAGAAATATATTGAAACGTGATACATGCAATAATAATAATAATAAAATATATTTTTAACTAGCCTGATATTGATCGTCTTATGGTCCCAGCATAGAATGGGCCATCTGTTCCTTTCCCGTCAGTATCGTAAGAGGCTAAGGGAACTTAATGATCGAAGGGTCATCTTATCTTTTATTCACATATGGGGTCAGCTAAGCCGTTATAGTCGACTCATCGGGATCTTTTGTGCTTCCTCCAACCTTGTACCATTATTTTATAGACCCTGTGTTACTTTAACGGTAACCCGCGGTTTAAGATATCTGTAGTCCCCTGGCTCTGGATGAGCCGTTCCCAGTAGACTTACACGCATATTTGCCAACGTAAGTGTTCCATGGATATAGCTATCTATATCCATGGAACACTTATGGAACAGTATCTATATACTCTTTATTGATTCCTCCAAAAGATTACAATAGTAAATTTATTATAAATATAAATAACTATAAGAAATAATCACAATGAGAAAACAATGGGCGACCTTATCGCTAAATGCGATCTCTTCTTGCTTCTTCTTCTTCAATCTTTGGATGGAGAGGAGTAATTATAAACAATTTGATCGGAGGCACGATGAAAAATTCTGTTATTTCTACATATGGTGATGTGACTTGGAGATCGATTCAGATTTCTCACCCCATAATCTGTACAGTGTGTCCGAGGATAGATCCATCGTAATATATGTCTTACTGGTATATGTCTAGTTAAGGTACCCATTATGAGTCCTGGCCTATTGTCTGCCACCGCTGTAGATGAGTTTATCCCATCCCTCAGCATTGTCGTTTAAGAACTTTTTAGAATGCCTCAGACCGTTCAAGTCCTCTATTTCTTTTCCTGCTTTTACCTTACATACGCTCTCTCACATGTCCCTTTCTCGCCAACTCATCGGCCTTTTCATTACTTTTAATTCCTATATGTCCAGGGGTTCATGGCAAATTAACCCTATTATGCCTACCCAAGTTATTTAAGTTTTGAATAGTATTTAAGATTAACCCTGAATTCACCCTTGTTGATACAAGTGCTTTGAAGTCGATTGACTGTCACTTAAAATATAAATATTCTTGTTTTTTACATGTTTATCTAGATTCATAGCTGCATAGGTAGTAACAGCATATATTTCTGTTTGGAAAACAGTAGAGTGTTTCCCTGTGCTTTGATTTATTTCGTTTTCACTTGAAACGATTCTAGCTCCAGCACCTGTTCCCATATTTTTTTAAATGGGTGATAATGGAATGGTAACCCCATCCGCGCTATCGGTATACTCCGGCGGGGCACCAGTGAAGGATGATAGGTGAGGATGAAGCAGGTCAGTTAGCCCATCGTGACGAATTCAACAAGAATTGTTCACGATGGTTTCCAGGGGGAGTCACGTGAAGGTCGACCTAATAAAGCATATTGCTAGCAATGGGGCAGTCAAACTCCATTGTTAACAATCCCTTTCCCCCCCTGTTGCCATATTGGAGCCATCCGTATACCAATATAGGCCATTCTCCTTTAGAGATGGCAGGCCATGTTCTTACTCTTTTCTCCTTGGTATAAGAACTTTTAAGTTCTTTTTGAAGACGTTCTTTTTAAAGAGGGATGGGTCATAGTTACTCGACGAGATTCCAGCAAGTTTGAAGAAAATATGTCTATATACGAGTACATCATCATTATCATCAGATGAGCCGTTAACTGTTCATTGCTGAACAGAGACCTCTCTCTATTAGACGGTATTGCTAGTAGTTGCCGCGCTTGGCAGGCGGGTTGGCAACCGCAGTTAGGCTTTGGTGACGTTTTAAGAGAGACGCTGCTGCCCATTCTTCGATCATTAAATACTCTTAGTTGTCTCTTACGACACACACGGGAAAGGAAGGGGTGGCCGATATACATGCTCAACGGGAATTTTATAAACTTACCAAAATTTAAAAACTAAACTACTCAATCCATTTTGATAAAATTTAATCAATCTGTAAGCATAACCTTTCAGATAAAAAATATTTTTCCAAATCGGTTTACAACTGTCGAAGTTATGAGGTGACAAACATAAAAGAAATACAATCGAATTAAGAACTTCCTTTTTTTTAAATCGGTTGACAATAAAAAAAAAACTACTAATTTGTTTATACAATGTATTTGTTTTATTCATGTACATATAGAAACAATTATAGGATGAAACAAAAAAAGGTTGAAACAGGATAGTTACTAGCCACAAGCGGCGATACAGGAGGATAGTGTTTTGAAATTATTAGCATTTCCATCACAACCCCCGTATGTGAACTCGATGCAGCCCTGCCCTTCAACATAGCCGTATCTGAAAAATATTAAGAACAAATCACAAAAACGTTTAAAAAAATTGAAGTCAATTATCGAATGTACCGTTAAAGATTATTATTTGTAGCAGTGGCAATCTTTGAATTCTAAAGTAGATAAAGTTTTGTTTGAGAAATCAGTTCAGGGACTATAGGACTGATATACCTGAATAAGGTAAAAGCCCTTAAAATAATATTAAAAAAAATATATAATATTATAAATGCACAAGTGACTTTGTAAAGACACAGTGCATTGAAGGTACGGAACCAAAGTTTTCAGTTAAATTGATATTGGTGCATTTATTTATTTATTTAACTCTTCATTGCACCAAAAACATAAAAATAAATAATGACATATAAACAATCCAACTGAAATACAGTAGCATGGAGTACAGATCAAAATATACATATAGAGGTACAAAAGGCGGTCTTATCGCTAGGGCAATCTCTTACAGACAACCTTTGGTTAAAGGAGAACATATAGAAGTAGGTAGGTGGCGCAAGAGTGAATTAATAATTCGGTTCATTTTCGCAGGAGGTACAACTAAGTTTTGTTAATTTCACTATTAGGAAAGTAAACGGTTCGGAGACATGAGTTATTAAAAATGCACGTGCTTTCCCCAATTTTACCAATATAACAGAATTGAAATAGGACAATGTCTGTACACAGAAGAAGCCACTAAAAATATGTACAACAAAACGTTTTAGGAAGCTAAAATAATGTTTTTTTTTTAGAAATTTTGTTTGTCTGACTGTATGTTTGTTCTGGTATGGTTCCGGTTTGCGCTACTATAGCGTGTGCTATTCCTGAAGGCCTAACTTAAAAACTGCCTTCTTTTTTTGACACGTCGTTTACAAGTAGTTTTTTTTTTTATTTATTTAGCATGCATAAATACATAAAAAAAAACTGGATTTTTAGTACCACTTAAACCTCTTGGGCTTGTGTGTGATACTTTACGTTTCGCTCTCAAATGTCAATGTTTACATTAATATTTATTTATTTATTTATTTATTCATTAGTACAAATATGTGTACATGGCGGACTTAATGCTAAAAGCATTCTCTCCCAGTCAACCATAATATTCTGCTGTTTTAGCAAGGTTAGACAGTAAATAAGCTTTCAGTTTAAACTCTATGTTTTTAACAGTGATATTTTTTCGCAAGTCGGTAGGTAGAGAACTTATTAATCGCGGTATGATGCCATTGGTATTTTAATGTATGTTCTCAAACAGTAAAATGTGACGTATAAAATAATTAAAAATTAATTATATGAGCATTATTGTACTAATGGGCTATTCTGATGATGAAGTAAATTCTGATTGATGATGAAATTAAAATTGTGTGAAGATCAAATCCACAATATCGGATGTGGAGGTTTTTTCTGTTATGCCAGAATGGCAAACAAGGTAACGGCCCACCTATTGGAAAGTGATAACTTTCGCCTATAGACATGAGCAGTACCATGGATATAACAGAATATTCTGTTTTGCCCATAATACCCCCCCTCATGCGTTGCCATAGTAGTAGCTGCAGTGTGTTAACCCTTCTTTGCATAATGGTGGAAATTTCCATCATAACATTGAATGCTCAAAAATTATATAAAAGAACAAGCTCACTTCAAGTTGATCGTGTCTGGGTTTTAATGTCCATTGCAGAAAAAAAAAAACATAGCTGTCAAATTTACTTTTTTAACCATTGTTTCTTTAATTTTGAACATGAATTATATCACCTTGATTTATTTCACCAATAACAAAATCATGCAAAGAATTAATCAAATTGTTGTTTTACCTTTTAAAGATCGCAGTACAGGGTCCAGTCTTTAATGGCAGGGAGCATATGTCTGAGAACAGAAAATATTGAACTTGAATTACCTCTTTATAGCTGCTTTACATGGTCCTGTCACTAAAGGCAGGCAGCATGTATCATCTGTAAAGCGGAATACTCATAAAACATCGGCTGTATGGGCTTAGCGTCTTTGCCTTTTTCAAAGGGATAAAAAAGTTTTTTTTTTTATACAACTTAGGCTAGCAAACAACCCACCTGAAGGAAAGTGGTAACCGTCTCCTATAGACATGAGCAGTACTATGGACATAACAGAGTATACTGTTTCGCACATGATACCCCCCATGCGTTGCCATTCCTGAGGACTCAGGTGTTATTCCTCTGTACCCAGTAAATTCACGCCATAAGTAGATTAGGCAAACACAGCGACTTATTCGTTACTAAGTTTTACCCGTGACTTCGTTTGCATATTCGGCATATGTTTAATGACTTGGATACCTAATAAGTAACCTTTATTTTTAAATTATATAAATAAAGTGTCTGCATACAAATGCTTCGAGAAAAGCGACCAACGGGCCAACTTTTTATACAATTTTGCGTGACAAATAGTTATTAGTGTTTCCTTTATAACTTCTATATTTTGTTTTACAATTTTTATATCTTTTTAATGCGTAAATTTTATTGCTATTTTATTTATTAAATAATTAACAGACTTATACAGATTAATATAGATACGTCAAGATACATTTGTGTGCGTAAGTATACAGAACACTGACAAAAAAAAAAACAAGTCAACTAATTTGACAATTGGCTGACAAAAAGTTGACCCGTTTTTGAGATTCGATGCTGTAATCTATCGGTATCGTATGTATCGGCTTTTAGCGACCCCTTTTTTTTAATAAAATACAGTTCTTTACATATGGAGGAATTTTTATAAGTGGTTTAAAATTTTTTTCATTATAAACAAAACATTTCTTTTTCATATAATTATTGAGATTAAAATATTATGTACTGCATGATAATGATGACATGATAGTGGATATATATGCCAGGACCTCTGTGGCCGTGAGGTTATGGCATAGGATAGGCCGCCCCTTCCTTTTCCATGGGTGTTGTAATAGGCAACTAAGAGAAGGCGAAGGATGGGCAGCAGCGTCCCTCTTAAAATATCTCTAAAGCCTAACTGCGGTTGCCAGTCCGCTTGCCAAACATGGCAACTACTGGAAAAACGCCCCAAGGTTTAGGCTTATGTTCAGCAGTAGACAGATAGATAGATATTCTTTATTGTTTCCTCCAAAAGATTACAATAGTAAACTTATTATAAATGCAAACAATTATAATAAATAATTACAATGAGAAAACAATGGGCGACCTTATCACTAAGAGCGATCTCTTCCAGCCAACATTTGGATGGAGAGGAGTAATTATAAACAGTTTGAAATTTAATTAATTAATTAATTTAAAAGATTGATTTTATAATTTAATTGGTCTAGTTTTAAATTATATATACAGAGTGTCTCCATATAAACGTTTCGAGAAAAGCAGTTAAAGGCAGTTAGGCTTTGGTGATGTTTTAAGAGGGTATGCTGTAGGCCATGCCTCAACCATTAATTTAGGAAAAAGAATGGGTGGTCAATTCTATGCCGGGACCACATTCTATTACCATACATTAATTTAAAAAAAAATGTCTTTCTCACCGTCTCCATAACAAATGTTACACACGACGAAAAAAGTCAAAAGAAAAGAGACAAGTTTATACATTTTACAGTTTTAAAATGAACTGTTTTGTGTCAGTTGAGAATTATATAAAATATACCAGTAAACTATGTTTTATATAGTATTTTTTATTTACATAATTTTATGTTGAATTAAGGAGAAGAACTGTAGGTTTTTTTTATATAACTTGTAAATGGCAAACAAGCTGACGGCCCACCTGATTGAAAGTCGTAACCGTCGCCTATAGACATGACCATGGACATAACAGAGTGTACTGTTTCGCCTATGATACCCCCCATGCGTTGCCATTCCCGAGGACTCAGGTGTTATTCCTCTGTACCCAGTAAATTCACGCCATATCACACCCTTCCAACCGAAACACAGCCATGCAAACACAACTGCTTCACGGTTGAAACACAAATAGGACAGAGGTATCCAAGCAATAGACTTTTGTACAAAGTCTCCCTCTGGTAATCTCAAAAAGTTTAAACTGAAAGCTTATTTACTGTCCAACCTTGCTAAAACAGCAGAATATTAATGTAAATATTGACATTTGAGAACGAAATGTAAAGTATCACACACAAGCCCAAGAGGTTTAAGTGGTACTAAAAAATCCATAGTTTTTTAAATATATTTGCATGCTAATTAAATAAAAAAAAATCAGAAGAAACTTTTTGTTGACGGCACCCATAACCCTTTCAGACCCAAGATTTCTTTTCTTTCAGATTAAATATATTTTCGTGTTTTGGAGCCAAGCCATCTTGCCGGCACGCACGAGACTACTGCACCACCTAACCGCTAAAATGATTTCTCATTGGCTGGTTTAGAATCTCACTATCATGTTATTTCAGCTTCGTGCGTTAAAATGAATTGCGCGCGGTTTTAGAATTTTTTAAAGTTACAACTCACGCCCGTATCGTTCAGGTCTGAAAGGGACAAGCTTCATCGACCGCGATCCTGCCCATGGCTAATACTGAATAGACGTTAAACGAACCATCTACTTCGTCGTTGGGTCTATTTGATGTCCATTCAATTTGATTTCGATTCGGTTCTTCTTTGATTATATTAATATTAGATTTATTTATTTAAAGATTTTCTACGTATCTCAAATTTATTTTTGCTGTTCAGTTGCAGTCCTTATTATTATTATTTCAGCCGTTAACTGTCCACTGCTGGACATAAGCCTTCCCCGTAAGGGGAGTTTTGCTAGTAGTTGCCACGCTTGGCAGGCGGGTTAACAACCGCAGGTTTTTAGAGATATTTTAAGAGGGACGCTGTTGCCCATCCCTCGCTATTTTTTAGTCGCCTCTTACGACATCTCTGGGAAAGGAAGAAGTGGCCTATTATAAGCTGGAACCATACGAAACAAAAGCATATAAATCTATACTTATAATAAATCTGTAGAGAGGTCAATTCTGTACATGAAATATATTTCCAAAACAACTATCAGGCGGTGATTAGTGATCGATACTGATGTCAAAAATGCGATCAGTAAAATTTTTGTCTGTCAATTTGTTGAAATTATCATGGTTAATTCCTGATGAATTCATCATGATAGGCTAACTGGCCTGTTTTCATTCTCATCTGTCACCCTTCACTGGTGCTCTGCCAGCGTATCCCGTTAGCGCGGGCGGGATTACCATACCATTTTCACCAAAAAAAAACAATCTTTTTTTTCATATTCGACATGTTTAATAACTAGTCTCCATCTAGCCATATAGTATCCAGAAATCGCTTTAAAAAGTCCTAGTTGAGTATTATTCTCCTTAACTTTTATGATTGAGAAAATAATTAATTTTTATTCACTTGAATAAATAAAAATAACATAAAAATAACATATGCATTCCATATATTATTATAAAGAATAACAGGGCTGTAAATTATGTTGTTTTTGTCATGTAAAACAAAAAAAAAACTAAAAATAGGTACAAATTTATTTTTTATTTTTTATGCAACAGGCAAAAAGTAAGATCCCATTATTTAGCTGTGTGGCCTCAACATAGAATAGGCCACCCCTTCTTTTCCTGTGGGTATTGTAAGAGGCGACTAAGAGAGGGCGAGGGTGGGCAGCAGCGTCTTTTTAGGAAATATACAGATATATAAATATATACACAAATATACAGAGAGATACACGCAGACGTGTGTTACTTACGCACACACGCACGAACGCCGCCTACGCACGCACGCACGCACGCACGCACGCACGCACACACGCACGCACACACACAGACATATGGCTGACGTATGACTTATATACGAGGTCTGTCCGGAAAGTTCGTATAAAAGTGTTCTGGAATGCGAGAAAGAAGTTATATACAATATCTGGTCTGACCGCCGTTTGGCTTGTCACGCCATCTGTGAAGTTACCTCTTAACGAAACCCCGTCGGCATGGAGCCCGCTTCCGTTGAAGAGCAGCGCGTCGTAATAGTTTCTCTCGAAACTCGGCAAGAATGGCCGTGAAAGCAAAGAGTGGAAGACATCCGGGGAACCACGAACAAAAAAATCAAGAAAATCCCGCTCAAATGTCAAGACAATGTTGATTGTTTTTTTCGATGTTCGGGGATTGTCCATCAAGAATTCGTCCCTCCAGGCCAGACAGTTGATGGAAAATTCTACGTCGATGTGCTCAGACGCCTCAAAGCTCGTGTGGCACGAGTTCGTCCAGAATTGGCGCGAGAGGGGCGTTGGATTCTTCACCACGACAATGCCCCTGCACACACCTCTCTTGTTGTCCGTGAGTTTTTGAGTAAAAATTCCATTACGGTGACCGAACACCCCCCTATTCGCCGGGCGTGTGACTTCTTCTTGTTCCCAAAAACCATATTATCGGGGGCGGCATTTGGGGGACATAAATGAGATAAAAAAAGCTACGACGGGGCAGCTGAGAAACCTACAACCATCAAGGAGCCTTCTCACAGTGGAAACGGCGTTGGCACAAGTGCATTATGTCACAGGGGGAGTACTTTGAAGGGGATAAAATTGATTTACCTGAATAATTGTAAAATAAAATTTTTAAAAAACTTTTATACGTACTTTCCGGACAAACCTCGTACATATATGAGTTTTTGCAGATATTCTGTATTAGAAATATTTGATTAAAACTCCGTGTAATAGTGGCTTTAATAGTAGACATTGCTTCGAAACTTTGCAAATCGGCCGTGTAGTTCCAGCATAGAGTAGGCCACCTCTTTCTTTCTTAACCATGAGTATCGTAGGAGCCGAATAAGGGAGGACGAGGGATGGACAGCAGCGTCCCTAATAAAACATCTCTAAAACCTAATTGCGGTTGCCAAGCGTGGCAACTACTGGCAAAATTCCCCTTTTGGGAAAGGCTTCTGACAAAATCTGCAAACACTTTTCGGGCGTAAATCTAGTTGGGTCATGTGCTTGTTTAGTTTACAGTGTCCAGTGAGAGCCCTTGTTAATACACATACATTATTTTTACTTAAAAGTGCTAATTTCTTATAGTAATTTTCTAAAAACACCTTTAATTAACTGTCAAACCTTAAAATCATTCACTAAATTTCTATTCCTTTATAACATACTCAGTAACCCCAATTCTCCATCGTACCTCCGCTCCCGGTTTAAATTATTACCACCACCAGTCCGTCCTAAATGCTCCTGTCAAGTTCAGTTCAGGACGCTCGAACTTCCTGTGTGTAGGACACATTTTGTGGGCAACTCTTTCTCATATCGAGCTGTCCAGTTATGGAACAAACTCCCTTCCCACATACAAGAGAGTCCCTCTATTACCTCTCTCAAGAAGAGGTTGAAATCACATTTTCTTTCCCTTGAGTAGTATTTTTTCTGTATTTTTCTAATTGAACTGTCAAATCTTAAAATCATAAAACGAAATTTCTAATGTAAATAGTATATTCATTTATTTTAACATCTATTGTATAAGTAGGTAGGTATTATATTTATTTATAGTATATGTATTTATGTAACATTTTATTATGTATCTTAATATTTTATTTAACTGTATATTTGTTTATGTACTCTAAATATTAATAGTTGTAGCACTTCAGCTACCCGCTAACAACATGCTTTCTCACTGCATCGAGTTGACTGGAAGAGATCTCTGTCAGAGATAAGTCCACCCTCGCTCACAATATTTATAAATGCATTAACAATGTAATTTACCAGTGCAATAAAGAATATAATAATTAAGGCTTTCGAATGATTTAGAATTTTTGTATCTGAAAGTATAGGATATACTTTCAGATACAAAAATTCAGACAAAAAAAAAATGAAAATAAATTTATATCTGACGAAATTATGAGGTAATAAACATAAAAAAAAATAATACAACCGTTTTGAGAACCTCGTATTTTTTTTTAATTATTTGAAAATAAATTATTTAAACGAACACTTGTACAAATAATGGAATGAAAAACAACCATTTTACAATTGTTTATGATACAATTTATTATTTATTTGTAAGCCTATTTAAATTGTATTTCTATTCTTGAAAAAAACAAGAATGATGTGTTATTTTTCGTGTTTCAATGTCATTGCTGTCTATCAAGTACCTACTTATAAGTTGTATTTTTTTTATTTACTTGTAACTGTATTTATCTTGTAAGTTATATTTATGAAAAAAAAATACAGCATTAAAATTATTGTACTTCGTTACTTATTATTCAAGTAACTTAGGTAAAATTTTTTTATACTACTTAGAATGGCAAACAAGCTGACGGCCCACCTGATGGAAAGTGTAAACCGTCGCCTATAGACATGAGCAGTACCATGGACATACTGTACTGTTTCGTCCATTATACCCCCATGCGTTGCCATTCCTAATGACTCAAGTGTTACTCCTCTGTACCCTGTAAATTCACTGTCATATCCCACCCTTCAAACCGAAATACAACCATGCACACACAACTGCTTCACGGTTGAAACACGAGTGGGGTAGAGGTGCCCAAGCAAACGACTTTTGTACAAAGTCTCTCTCTGGTGAAAGGAAATTTGAAAGAAAACTGTTCGACTGTCTAATTGATAATTAATTACTCTACAAATTTCTTTTAAATGTGTTTAATCTCTTCTTCTCTTGTTTTTATTCTGTAAAAGGTTTTTTTTTTAAATGATTGTAATTTATAATTTATGTACAACATTGTAAAAACTAAACATGATTTATTAGTTTTTTTTTTTTTCATTTAAAAATTTCCTCTTGTCGGTGCAACTAATTCATGCATCTTCCTCCAGCCAGCTCTATCCCAGGCCATATCCTTTATCTCCCTATACGACATGACGCCTAGTGTTTCCTTTATCTGTCCTATGTAGTTAATCCTCGGTCTTCCTCTTCCTCTTTTGCCCTGTATCTTTCCTTCTATTATGCTTTAAAAAAAATCGTCATGTCGTATAAGGTGGCCCAGTATTAATTTATTAGTAGTAATTGCAATTTAACGTAATTCATTTTGTTAATATTACTTCTTAATATTATTACTGTATTTTAGAAACTGTAAAAAGAACATTTACACACCTATGTAACGGGTGGTAACGGTAACATAAATCTATACTTATAATAAATCTGTAGAGAGGTCAATTCTGTACATGAAATATATTTCCAAAATAACTATCAGTGGGTAATTAGAGATCGATACTGATGCCAAAAATGCAATCAGTAAAATTTTTGTCTGTCTGTCTGTCTGTATGTTCGTTATAGAAACAAAAACTACTTGACGGATTTTAACGAAACTTGGTACAATTATTCTTCATACTCCTGGACAGGTTATAGTATACTTTTCATCACGCTACGATCAATAGGAGCAGAGCAGTGAAGGGAAATGTTAAAAATGTCCACCTGTGCGACGCCGGGACGGACCACTAGTAAAAAATCTATATCTTTGGTAAAAGAATTCTGTTAAATAAAATAAAAAAAAATAATAAATCCTCAAAACACCTGAACAGAACTTCATAAATTGTAGCTACGAACCACTTCTTTCAAACATAAAACCGCATCGTAATCGTTCGTTTAGGAGGTACGATGCCATAGACAGACACACAAACACAATCACAACCTTACAAAACCCTTATTATTACTTCCGGGTTTAATAAATAAATAATAAACATGTTATTTCAACAACACTTTTCATTTATTCATGTAACAACTATTTGAACAATTTTCAATCTTATTTTTGTATATAAATAATTTATTTACACTTATTTTTTTTTAATAAATAAATAAAAATCGTTTAAAGTAATGACAGGTTCATGTAACACTAGTTCTCGCACGCGTTTTTGCACGCTTCTAATGTCTCGAAATTGTTCGCGTTCCCTTGACAGCCGCCGTACGTGAATAGTACGCAGCCTTTGCCTTCGACGTAGCCGTATCTGAAAAAATTTTTTTTATCTAATATATAAAATTCTCGTGTCGCGGTGTTTGTTACCAAACTTCTCCGAAAAGGCTTTACCGATTTTCATAAAATTTTGTGTGTATATATCGATAGGTCTGAGAATCGGCCAACATCTATTTTTCATACCCCTCAATGATAAGGGTGACCCACCCCAAAATATTTAATTTTTTTATTTTTTTGACAAATTTTTTATTTTTATTTTATTATAATTTAGCATTGAAAAATATATACAACTTTAAATTTCCATCGTTTTACGATCAACCCCTGTATTTTAATCGCGATTTTTATATTTAGCAATAAGTAGTAAAACAACGATTACGGGGTCAGCTAGTAATTTTTATAAAAGAACTTTGACGAAAATGTAAATAAAGGCATAAGAGACACGACTATAAGACAGTCCGCTAATGTCCAAAAACATTACAAATTTGGCATGGGTAATGGTGGATACTTCGCCGTGTCGGTTCCGGCATAGAATGGGCCACTCCTTCCTTTCCCGTGGGTGACGTAAGAGACGAGTAAGCGAATTTAATAGTCGTGGAATGACCAGCAGCGTCCTTCTAAAAATATCACTAAAGCCTAACAGCGGTTACCAATCCGCCTGCCAAGCGTGGCAACTACTGGCAGAATCCTTCTTATGGGGATATTTTTCTTATGCAACTTAGAATGGCAAACAAGCTGACGGCCCACCTGATTAGAAGTGGTAACCGACGTCTATAGACATGAGCAGTACCATGGACATAACAGAGTATACTGTTTCGCTCATGGTACCTCCCATACGTTACCATTCCTGAGGAGTCAGGTGTTATTCCTCTGTACCCTGTAAATTCACTCTCATATCCCACCTTTCAAACCGAAACACAGCCATGCAAGCATAACTGCTTTACGGTAGAAACACGAATGGGACAGAGGTGCCTAAGCAAACGCCTTTTGTATAAAGTCTCCCTCTGGTATGTGCAGCGATGGAGAGTCAACAGCTGATTATCACCGATGATGATAATGATGATGACTTGATAGTATTGCATTAAAAAAAAAACAAATCACCTTTGAAATGCCGCTCTACACGGTCCTGTCTTTAAAGGCAAGGAGCAAATGTCGTCTGTAAAGAAAAAAATATATAAAATAAGTTTATTCATCTCCACAAATTACAATGTATAGATTATTTACTTTATACAAAACAAAAGTATCGTAATTTGTGCGAGATCTGGAGCCTAAACTAAGTCGTAACTTGTATCTTAGACACCAGGTTCCCCTTAATAAAGTACTGATAATTAAAAGTAAAAGGGACTTCTGCGGAGTAAAAATAAATATGGTTTAATATTAAAATGAAGAGTTGCGTGTGTGCGTGTGCGTGTGTGTGCGTGCGTGTGTGTGTGTGTGTGTGTGTGTGTGTGTGTGTGTGTGTGTGTGTGTGTGTGTGTGAGCATGCGAGTGCGCGTGCGCGCGCATGCGAGTGCAGTAAATAAATTTATTAACAGAAATTATTATATCATGATATTAATATTAAAATAAATAGTAATTAATCCTCTAATGTTAGTGTAATAATGTGTTAAATAAATAATTAAATAAAATAATATAATAAATAAACGTCTTAGGATTTTGTTCCACAAAAAAAAACAGACTTCAACTGTGGTAATACCAGTTATTTCGATTTAATATAAATTTTAAATTAATCAGATAAAAAGGAAATAATTTTTCCAAATAGTTTTACAATTTAATAATACAATGTAATAATAATAAATATTTTCTATTCAAATAAAATCAATAATAATAAGCATTTTTGAATTGTCATATTTTTTTAAAAAACTACCACCCACTTCGGTATGCAATTTCAGCTGAGATGAACAAGCTAGAAACTCAGCTGTTGTTTTTTTTTCAAATATGAGTTAAGTTTACTTTTTAAGTTACTTAAAAAATATATAAAATAATAAATAACTAACTTACCGTCTCCGTTACAAATATTGTACATGATAAATAAAATAACAATAAGAGCGATGAATTTATACATTTTTACACACGTGTGGTGGAGCGAATCGATTGGAGTCGATTGGTGTCGATTGGAAATGTCGAGTGAACAGTACAACACCTACTGTTTTATATTGTACTATATTTACATTAATTTCATGCACTATTAAGGGGAAGAGTTAATGTTCTTAATATAAATAATAAAATAATTGGAAATTAATTAATTTGTTAATTAAGTTAATTCAATTTTAAATAATGCCCACAGACACCTTTCATCATTGCACCGCACGTTATCATCAGGGAATTTCTTCCTCACACGCTTGAACATAAGTGGTCATGTACAGTGCGGTTTCAAAGCTGGACGCTGTGTGGATTTTAGAAGCTGGAAAATCAATTAAATAGATCACTTTTAGATCGTGTATCCAGATGAAATGTAAACCAGATCTTAAGTTACACCTTCAGGGAAAGAAATGTTGAAACAAACATATAGATAAATAGACAGAATTGTTAGTAATGGGGTCAAATAGCTACATTACTAGCAATATACCCTGTCAGGTCCAACTCCATGTGGTTCCCCTGGAAACCATCGTGGCTAATTCTAGTTGAATTCGTAATGATGGGCTTACTGACTTGCTTTCATCCTCATCTCTACTCATCGCTAACTGGTGCCCCGCCAGTGTATACCGATAGCGCGGGCGGGGTTACAATTCCATTATCATCCATTTAAAAGAAACCTGAAAACCATCGTGGTTAATTCTTGTCGAATTCGTCACGATGGCTCATCAACATACTTGCCAATCATTCCTCACTGGTGCCCTGCTAGTGTATACCGATAGCGCAGGCGGGGTTACCGTTCCATTATCACCCATTAAAAAAAAGTGTATACCGTTAGCGCAGGCGGGGTTACGATTCCATTATCATCCATTTACAAGAAATCTGAAAACCATCGTGGTTAATTCTTGTCGAATTCGTCACGACGGCTCATCCCTCACTGGTGCTCCGCCAGTGTATACCGATAGCGCAGGCGGGGTTAGCATTTCAGCCGCACCTATTAAAAAAAAAAGTGCAATATTTATTTGTTTGTATTTAATGTAGTTCCCCTTAATTTTCTGACGAACATGATTCTTACTCATTGGAACAAATTAACAAACACAAGTGTGAATGTGATCAAATAACGTTCTTTATGTATATTACAATGTGTTGTCTTAATTTTTAAGAAATTTAAAAACCGATCTCAAATTTTATGTACCTTCTAGCTGTTTCTCGTGGCTTCGCCCACGTGCATCAGTACATAACGTATCCTATCCTATGTTTAAAGTTAGGATATAACCTACCCTTGTTATATCCTAACTTTAAGCATAGGATTTCAAATCCTTGGAGTCGTTTGAGCGTAATTACATAAGTAACATCTACTATTATATATATATATATATATATATATATATATATATATATATATATATATATATATATGCATTATACATACATATATACACGTATATATTATATATATACCTACCCTTTGTCTTTTTTCTCAAAATATGTCCTCAATGAACTCAAAGGTCGTCTGGAAGAGATTGCATAGTGATAACGCTGCCTTTTGTATCACTTCTCATTAAAATTATTTATTATTTTATAAATAGTGCAATAAAGTGTAAAATAGTGTAAAATGTGTAACATATGTATAAAAATCTAAAGTCACGATGTTTGTTGTCGCACTCCTCCGGAACGGTTCGATTTATTTTTATAAACTTTTATGTATATTTTGCAGACATGAAAATAGGTCGTAAAGTATATTTCATACCGCTAGGTGATTAGGGTGGCTCTATCCCTTATTTATTTTACTTCCATACACCCACTCTAACTTGCCTACCTTGCTAAAAAAATATAATTTTCGTTTATATAATTAAATTCCATTATTGGCTCCTATTTATAAGAGACAGCATGTAAGTTGTTTTTTTAAGAGCTGTGGATTTTTGTATTAAATAAATAAAAAAATAAAATAAATAAATAAATTTATATGGCACAACAACGTTTACAGGGTCGGCTAGTAGATCTATAAAAAATTATACATGATATTATGTGAAAATTTAAGATTATACCACAAAAAAAAAAAACAATCGTGACAATAACAATTATTTTAATTTAAACAATAACATACTGAATCGATTTTGATAAAATTTCCTCTGGGATCAATCTAATAGTATATCCTTTCGGATAAAAAAAAGACCTATCCAAATCGTTTTACAAATATTGGATTTACGAAGTAAACAATCATAAAAAAAAAATATAACCGAACGGAGAACATCTTTTGTCTTAGTCGGTTGAAAATGAAAATTAATACATTTTTTTGTTAATATTTCAAGGCTGTTTCTAACTGACGACATATTTGTTTGGTGGTATGAAAAAAAAAATAAAGTGAACGCTAATATATGGTATATGCACCTGAACAAACAACAATGAAGAAGAAATAATGACGAAAATTGTTTTTTGTTTAATAATAAATTAATATTTATTATTTACTCACAAGATACGTCTGTTTGGCTTCACAATCAGTTAATCATGGAGGTACAATAACAAGTTATAAACATAATTAGTTCTTTGTCCTCTACTTCGTACACGTGCATTTTGGAAGTAGAAAAACCATAAATAGAAAGGCCTACCATGGGGTTTATTGCTAGCAATCGGGTGGTCGGATCCCATTAATAATAATCTCTTCCTTGCCCCCCCCCAACCGACGTGCACCGATAATGACACCCCTAGTGTTGCAGGTGTTTTTTTTTATACAACTTAGAATGGCAAACAAGCTGACGGCCCACCTGATGGAAAGTGGTAACCGTCGCCTATAGACATGAGCAGTACCATGGACATAACAGAGTATACTGTTTCGCCCATGATACAACCCATGCGTTGCCATTCCTGAGGACTCAGGTGTTATTCCTCTGTACCCTGTATATTCACGACATATCCCACCCTTCAAACCGAAACACAGCCATGCAAACACAACTGCTTCACGGTTGGAATACGAATGCGACAGAGGTACCCAAGCAATGGACTTTTGTAAAAACTATGAACTACAGTGACCGTTTACCATCAGACAGGCTGTATACTTGTTTGCTATCTTCGTAGTATAAAAAGAAACAATCTCTCACTGCAAAAGGTAGATAAAAGTAATATAAAAGACTGTGGAACTCTCTTCCACTGCATATTCGTGAAAGTCAATCGCTGAATATATTCAAGAGCAGATTAAAAGAGCATATTGTGTGCTCGCAAACTTATTATGTCTATGTAATCTTTAAAATCTCCTGTAATCTTTCTGTATTTGACGGTACTTTAAATTATTCTTTTCTCTCCACCAGATGGAGCCAGAGGAGGTGTACGCTGAAGCCTTGGAGGGAAACCGAATTGATGACGTCATCGATGAGCCGGCCCACTGTTACAGCTCTCCTTGTACCACCAACGGTGATTGCTGCCGTGGTCTACTATGTTTGGAAACAGGTACTGTCTTACCGGGAAGAAAGCTTCATGAGTAGTGACCCCGTACAGACAAACGCAGTGTAGGACGGCCCCATTCTAGATGGAGTGACGGTTTCAAATGCTGAATGAAATTGGGGTTCGGTGGATTTCGAAAGGGAACCCGGGTCCCCAACACTATGGCGCGGCGAGGGATGCCGTGGTGGTTTTAGCCGGTAGGAATACGGCAGTACCCATAAGCCTCCCCCGGGGCTTATGGGTCTGCATGAGGCAGGCCACGAAAAAAAAAAGGTGGCTTAGGAACGTTCTTTATAGTCTATGGGGGAGGCATATGTTCAGCAGTGAACTAATAATTGCGGAGATGGTGAGATGATTCGCCCTAGTTTCCCATGGATGGAAATTTTGATAATAATAAATAGCCTAATGTTGCTGATAATAAAGCTTTGTATAGCTGAAATAATAAAAAAAAAATGGCTGAGTAGTTTTTCAGTTTATCCATTACAAACAAACGTATAATAATCAAATTGTGTTTTTAGAAAAAAAAAAAAGACTTTAATAATGGCAAAATTACTTATTTTGATTTAAAAACTAAATTACTGCTCCAATTTTGACGAAATTTCTATGGGACATTAGTCCCATATTAATGCAAGTATATTCTTTCAGATAAAAAAAGGAACTTTTTTTTATACAACTTACAATGACAAACAATCTGACGATCCACTTGATAGAAAGTGGTAACCGTCGCCTATAGACATGAGCAGTACCGTGGACATAACAGACTATACCGTTTCGCCCATGATACCCCCCATGCGTTGCGATTTTATAGTTATAAACTTTCCAAACCATTTTATAAATTACGGAGTTATGAGGTATATTATGTTCTGATACTTGTTAACATTTTGTATTCCTACATATTTATTACTTATATAATTAAACTTTTTGAAAATATCAACAGCTTCCTTGACCGTTCTTCTTGGTTGAAATTGCGTTCCGAATGGGCGGCAATGAAAGTTACTATTCAAAAATGCTTAAGTCTGAGTTTACTTGAATAAAAATATTTATTTCAATAAATATAAGAAAGACATACCGAATTGAAAACTTCCGTCTTTTTGGAAGATGGTTAATAATAGGTTATCTTTGTTTATACACGACGTTTTTTATATGGCTGATAATGGTATGGTAACCTCGCCTGCGTTATCAGTATATACTGGCGGGGCACCAGTGATAGTTGAAAGCAGGTCAATTAGCCCATCGTGACGAATTCCACAAGAATTAACAGGTGGAACCACGTGGAGGTCGACCTGACAAAGTGTATTGCTAACAATGAGACTGGTAGTCCGTATTACTAAAAATCTCTTCCCCCCCTTTACACGACGGTTTTTTTTATTGGTGATAATGGTATGGTAACCCCGCCAACACTATCAGCATACACTGGCGGGGCACCAGTGATAGATGGCAGGTGAGGATGAAAGCAGGTCAGTTTAGTCCATCGTGACGAATACCACAAGAATTAACCACGATGGTTTCCAGGGACCACGTGGCGGTCGACCTAACAAGGTACATTGCTATAATGGGACGCTGTCAATACACGACGGTTAGGTACCATTTACTATCACGTGGGCCATTAGCTCGCACGCCATTTCGAGTCGTGAAACAAATGTCTGAAAACATAACTGGCAAAGTAACATTCATAAATCAGAACAATACCTAACACCCGCGGCGACGCTCCGCCATTTTCCTTAAGAGCGGAGAGCTATGTAAATTTACGACATAAAATAATGTTGGACAGAAGCGGCTATGTATACCGTCGCATTCGTTTGCTAAGTGCTCGTTTCGAAATACAACGACTGAAGTTTGAACATTCATTTGTTGAAATATTGTAGTGAAGACATTTTACGCAAATACACACAACTATACAGAGATTGTTTGCGCCACAACTAGTTTAAATTCACATTTCGTGTAGACAAGGACAGACATACTTCACGATCTAGGGCCGAAAGGAGCCGAGTACACCCGTGCCGCTGCTGGGAAAAAAGATGGCGGCTCTGTTCGTTTTTCCCGCTCGAATCTGAGAAACGCCGCTCGCACATACATAATTACGTGTAAAAATAATTAATTCATTAAAACTATCAAATTATCAAGCTGTATGTCGGTGGTGTGATAGTGAAGGTGTATATACACTAATTCCGCCGCGCGTGTGGTGTGGTGACACGCAAATCGGTTCCTGCAGCAGCCGCCATAGCAGAATCCAGGTACGCTCGTAACTCCTTAATTTGCCCGAATCGTGATCCTGTGATGACAGTCTAGTCGAAGGAAACTATCTCTCGGGATATAAATCCCAAGGGAATCGCTTTAACATTTTTTGGCCCGTTACGAACCGGATGCATTTACTATCTTTAAATTGAGTTACATTTAATAACGTACCCCTTTTGCTATTTATTCGCAAGGTCCTTCGTTTAATATTTTTATTATAAACCGCTTTCAAAATTGATAATATAAAATCCGCTTATTTATTCTTATACTACCAACTTATAGTTTCTCAGACATACCCGCGCAGCCGTATAGGATTGCCTTGTTATTTCTTTATATTATACCGCAACAAGCACCTATATGTGTAATAGTTTATTATTTATAAACATATTTATTATATACCGCTTATAATACCATATAATATCCCGCATTCCTCTTTATTATTTCATTAGATAATAAGTATTCAGCATCGCATTTATAGTATAGTCTTATAGTTTTATCCTATAAGTATACTATATTTAATATATACACATCCCGCACACCCATAATATACAAATATAATTACATATATCCCGCATTCCGTTATATTTTATATAGTAATCTATGCAACACTTATAACCGTGTTTTCGCTGCATACCTACATTGCATTTTTATTTCGTTACGGTCCGCTTACGCTGTCTATTGACAGGTCACTTTGTATAATTACCTATAGTTATATTGCATTAAATCATTATGTCTCGTAAAGACAAAGATGCGCCTACCTTTTCACCTAGTCGTCAACTTATTATGTTAGAAGCTAAACGTAATGCTTTATTTCAACGAATACAAGGTATTTACGATAAGTCGAAGTTGGCTACTGAATCGGAAGAAAAAAGACGTATGTTTCTTAGTTCATGTATAACCATCGATGACGTTCGTAATAAGTTTCAAGACGTACTCGATGAATATAATGAGAAGATGCTTGATGAAAATCCTTCTGCTGTACCTAATTTTCATGTATATGACTCATTTGAGGATATGTTTTGTTCAATTAAACAGACATTTTCTGATCTTTCTTCTGCGCCCACGGGCGGGAACTCGAGTGGGATAGATGCACCTGTATCTAGGCCCAGGCTCCCCCCTGGAATTAGTCGGCTTCAGTGGGAATTATCAGGATTGGAATTTATTTTACGCCAGTTACAAATCTACTGTACACGACAACTCCTCACTTACAAACGCAGAAAAACTGTATTATTTACTGGGCAAGTTATCACCCAAGGTACAATCGGTATTTGCAGGTATTACACCCTGCGCCGAAAACTATGAAATTATATTTAAGTCTCTGCTTGATAAGTATCAAGATATTCACGTTCTCGGTTCTAATTACTTAGACCAGATTTTAAATCTTAAATTAGGCAACATGCCTTCCGCCGCAAGTTTTCAATTATTTATAGATAATTATGTCACCGCCGCTATGTCGTTAAAGGGTTTAGGTATAGAAAATTTATCTGATTTCATTTTATTATATATTGCGAAACGTAAATTCGATTCAGAAACATTACGCGCGTTCGAATTACACTCTTCTATAACAAAATCACGGGATTTTGACGGATTTATTAATTTTATAAAAACGCAATGCCGTATTTATGAAAATACACAACCCGCGCCCGCCACCAGTACAAAGTTAAATAAATACCGCCCGCCTTCTAATAAGTATCCAAACCCGCAGTCTTATGTTTCAAGTGTAACACCTATAAAATGTTCACTTTGTAATAGTAATATGCATGATCATTTTTATAAATGTAGTGCATTCGAAAAATTGTCACCTTTCGATCGTTATAAACATATTAAAGTCAACAATTCATGTGTAAATTGTTTAAGTACCAAACATAAGTCAGGTGTTTGTACATCAAAATCTTCGTGTCGTGTATGTCAAAAGCGTCATCATTCTTTGCTACACTTTGCCACGGAGCGGAGCTCGCGGCCCACGCACGAATCGTCCGCGCCCGCGCCCGCGCCCTCTAGTTGCATCGCTTCACCCCTGTCCCCGTCACACAGCGGCGCGGCCGTAGCCGCGCAGAGTAATCTGTCGCTTTGTACGGTCAGTAACGAAACCGTGTTACTAGCGACCGCACAGGTTATTGTGTATGACGCATTAGGTAAACAACACTTAGTTCGATGTTTATTGGACAGTGCGTCCCAAAGTAATTTTATTACTTATGAATGTTGTGACCGCTTAGGTTTATTAAATGAATTAAAATATTCATCCACGATGGTAAAGGGTATCGGTGGCTCACAAAAAACCGTTAAGGGTTCAGTAGAATTTAATATATTTTCTCGTTTTAATTTAAATGTTAACTTTAATATTTCCGCGCTTGTTGTTGACCGTATTACGGACAGTTTGCCTTCCGTTACTGTCAATACCGCCGCATTTTCACACATTAAAAACCTACCGCTGGCAGACGGCGAGTTTGCCATTCCTAGTAACATAGACGTACTTATAGGTAGTTCTATATTCCCGCACTTGCTATTGCCGGGTATTGTGCATAGCAAGCACCGTAATATTCCGCCCGCGATACAAACCGTTTTAGGGTTTGTAGTTATGGGTTCCGTACCCACTTTTAATTCCGAATCGCCTAATTCCGCATTATTAAATACCGCATATACAACCTCGTGTTGTTCCGTGATTCATGATCGCATGGACACTCTCTTCCAACGTTTTTGGGAATTGGAGGAGATAACCGCGCCGCCCGCTCAGAGTGCCGATGACCTCGAGTGTGAACATTATTTTCGCG